TGTATACCACAAAGGAATTATTTATAAATTAATTAAACTGAACGTGGATCCGTTTCTGGTCAAGATGTTTTCAAGCTTTTTAAACAACAGAAAATTTACTGTTATTATCAATGATTATATGTCCAATTTTGGCGCAATAGAAAGTGGTGTCCCCCAGGGCAGCGTTCTGTCACCCCAACTGTTCAACTTGTTCCTTCATGATTTTCCTCATGTTTCCGAAAATTCTAAATCTATTTTATACGCGGATGATTGTCTGATATATAGTCATAACAACTCACCAATTACTGCTCTCAATAATGCAGCGTACCATCTTCAAATTATAAAAGCATATTACACGACATGGGGAATTTCCATAAATGCTGCGAAGTCGGAGGCAATTTGCATTAGAAACGCTTCAGGAAAATGCCATAGAACAGTAGTGCCTGAATCCAAACTATTGAATCTCTCGCTTGATGGAACAGAAATCCCTTTTAGGAATACCTTAAAATATTTGGGAATAAACATAAATAACCTTTTTAAATTTAATGATCACGCCAGAGCCGCCCTAAAAATAGCCAAAATGACAGCTGGTCGTTTATCATACATCATGTGCAATACTTATCTGCCACAGAGTACTAAGTTGCTCCTATATAAAGTCGCCATTCGCCCAATTATGAATTATGGTTTCCCAATGTGGTTTTCAATTTCCCCGACAGTGGCAAATGAAATTGAAATGTTTGAACGAAAAATCCTTAGAAAATGTGTTGGAAAAAACTTCCAGAATCCCTCTAAGCGCTTCTCAAATCAGCACATTTACACCTGCGCAAACATTCTGCCATTCTGCACGTATGCTCTCAACCTCCAAAGGAGATTTGTGGAAAACCTAGCCGTACATAATAATGAACTTTTAAGTGAAATATATGCTGCTGAACAAAATATTTTATGGTCCGGCTCAACTTACCTTTCACCAGTAGGAGTTCTAAATGAAAATCTTGACAACAGTTCTGGCCAGTACCATCTACCTGATTTTTTTACCAAGGCGAGTCCCGAAACACATAGGGGATAAATGAATGCAAAAAACGATTCTGTGATATTCTTATATACATTTTAGACTTAAGTCACGTAGTACCTGAAAAATTACACATAAATAGATCATTTCACACCTCATGTTTCTTAACGTTATAATTTTACAATTAATATGTTACACAATTATTGTTCTCTTTACACATTGTATGTAATTGTCGATTATCACAATAATTGCTTTCGCAATTTTTTTTCATGTAAAATCTCGACATTACATTACATATGATCTCAATTCATATATACCTACCTAAAATTGTCACACTGTTCAAACATATTTATTTATTTTAGTATATAAGTGTTAACTAGTGTTTAAGTAGTTATGCAGATATTTACTCTGCACGCTAAAATATAGACCGCGAGCAAGTCTAAAAATCTCTTCCCATTTGTTTACATTTTGTAAATTTCTGTTTATTCACTTTGCATGTAGCATTAACGAACGTCAGTGTGCAGCAAAACAAAACTATTATAATTTTGCGTTTTTTGATTATCACCGTTGTTATCGATAAGTACAACATATTGTAACCGAAAAAAAAGAAGACTCAATAAATATTTTACTTACTTACTTACTTACTAATTGAGTTCGCGGCGACCGACGAAATTTTCGCCGGTGCCGTGATTGTGTGCACTTCCATATACACATATGTGTTTTATTTTTGACGACGAACATACGCCGCGAAAAAATTCGTCGTTCGCTCCAATTGTGTTCCTAGCATGATGTGTTTCTTTATTAAAAAAATTTAATTTAATTTTTTTTTTCAAATAAGTTACTGAAGTCTAGCATACCAAAAACCCAAATAAAATGAAAAATTGTATGCTTATTATATAATTTGTACCAGTTTCTTTAATGGGGACATCTTTTAGTTATGAAATCCTTAGTAAAATTACAATCATGATTTCGCTCAAATTCGAACATTTGTGTTTTAATCAAATCAAATCACTCACTTAACTAGGATAAATAAAACCGATCAGACTCATCATAGATGATCGACCCGTTATGAACAATTCAACATAAGTTCGTAAACAAATAACTCATGTGAGCTGTTTGATTGCGATCACAAAACTTCGATCAATACATGTTTGATCACAACTTTTTCGTTTGGCTTGAGTAACTCGAATGAACATGTTGCATCTGACCGACTGATTGACTTTGATTGTATTTCCACTGTGTGTGATCAAGCTTACTCAATCATACTCATTGCAGCCCTCTGTTGGCTGGCTTCTTCGTAGAGAAACAAAGGAGTTTTAGGTTGACATAGTTCGATTTTGGCCATTAATTTATACTCGTTAACCCTCCTTTGTTGTTCAAGTAAGCGTTTTGTGTATTCTCACCTTTACTGTCTTGTCTTAGTTCAATTACATTTTTAAATGTTCATACCACTTTTTTGGAAAGAAGCCAGTCAAATAAGCGTTCTATGTGTTTTTACCATCAATTATATCTGCATATTTAAGGCGCTGGCTTTTTCGTAAAAGAAACAAGTAAAAAAGCTGCTAAGTTCGAAATTTTTTTTGAAAACTACCACTTATTTGGGGGCTATACGAAGATATGGACCTGTGGACGAACTTTTTTTTCATAGGGTGTAGTATAATATAAAGATACCTCCCGATATTTGGTAATTTTTATGATTTTGGCGACACTATCCGCCGGAATGTTTTCAAATTTCGTATTGGAAAATCTTAATGGGCACTACATCCTAAGACAAAATATTTCGTATGCAGTTCCACATCTTTGTATAATGATTTTAGCGACATTATTCGCCGGAATTGTTTCAAACTTCGTATTTGAAGATCTTAATGGATACTACAGCCTATGACGAAAGATTACTTATACAGGTCCTCGCCTTCGTATAGTCCTCGTATAAAGGTCTTCATTTAAACGCTATTTTTCGAAATTCTTCAAGTTCCTTCCAAATGGTGGAGGATATGATATTAAAAGTTTGGCCCGGTCATTCTTGTTTTGCGTGGTTTTCCCAATATACGTTATAGAATTTTGTCTAAAAAAATAAAAACAAGCAAAGCCTACTATTGCATATTTAAAAGTCTATTTGACACTATAAGACTCCAGCATAGAGTTACATTTTTCTAGTTTCTTTGAAGTTTAGCAACTTTTCTTATTGAGGCATGACAACTCCATTATGCTGAAGCAGGTGGCACGTAACAATAGTTTTATGCCAAAAACTAAACAATTTATTGGCCATTAACGTCGAAATGTGAAGTTTTGTTGCAAAGGTATTTGAAATATTTTTCAACTTGTTTTCCTTAAAATTCTGAACAACACAAATCTAAAACTCCTTTGCTCTTTTACGAAAAATGCACCGATGACTTGAGTCGTTAAAAAAACTTGCACCTTTATCCTACCGACTGTTATTGTGCCCTGTTCGTGTTCAATATTTCAATTCAATGGTAAAAACGGAGTAAAAAAAACAAAACACCATGTACCATGGAATCATGTGTATTAACGATTTCGCAAATTAGGTAAATTAAGAATATGTAATGTAAACATAATGTAAATACATTGGTGGCCAAAACTAAAGCAACTAAAATTACAAGGAGAATGAATGGCCTGTAACTTTTTTTAAAATTTTAAAAAGGGGATATTTTTTTCTAGTTTTAAATTAGGCACTTTATTCACTTTTTAAAAACTTAAAACAAAAAACCAAAATTTATTTTTATATAAAAAAAATAATGTATGGTAAAGTCAATTAACCAAATTTTGGCTTGGACAAAACAAAAGCAACTCTGTTGTACATTCATATGATCACTGCAATTTCAGTTGTTTTTCCTGTTATATTTATCGATTTTAGCTTTCTTCAACAATTTCGCTTGTCATAAATGATTTTTGAGATGTTTTTTACAACAGCACGTGTTTGTTTCTGTATTTCTGTGATTTCTTGTATACTAATTCGGTTTTATGAAACTGGATCAGTAGTAACAGTCTATAACAGATGAAGGCCTGAAAAACTTCAACCCGTACTGATCACAAATTTTGAGAGAAATAAAAAACAACCATTTAAGATTGGTCTGCATGCCCGTAAGCTAAGCAGGGTAGCTTTCGGAAGCGATAATATTAATTGGAATCCAGCTCAATGGAAAAACATTTTATTCTGGGATAAGTCTACGTTTAACGGTGAGAAGATAAAAAAATGAAAGATTCAAGCCGCAGTGTTGCAAGGGTACAGTGAAACATGAGGTAGGGTTCAAAAAGACTGAAGACGCAGTGTTGCAAGGGTGCAGTGAAGCATGAGGGAGAGTCAAAAATTGTGTGGCGCTGTTTTTCTTTCTATGGACTTGAACCTATCCATGAAATGAAGGAAGTTATGGATCGGCTTGTTTAAAAAGATGTGTTGAACATCACATTTCGCTGAGGAAAATATTCGACCTATTTGGGTGTTTCAGCATAACAATGATCCCAAACATGCATCAACACTTGTCAAATATTGGTTGCGAGTGTCAAAAATCGGCGTTTTATCATGGCCGGCACAATCACATGACCAAAACCCCATAGCATAATGGTTATGCTATCGGCTAGCCAAAATTAAATTACTACTAGCCAAAATTAAATTATTTTAAAATAAAAAATCAAAAGTTGTTTTAGTTTTGTCCAAACAAAAATTGGTTCATTTTAGTTATCCATATATTATTTTTCATTCAAAATTATTTTTGTATTTTTATTTTTAGTTTTTTAAAAGTGAATAAAGTACTTCATTTAAAAGTGGAAAAATAATTACGATTTGTTTATTTTTGTAAAAGTTACAGGGTATTTATTGTCTTTGCGTTTTTAGTTGCTTTAGTTTTGGACACCAGTGTGTGTTAGCATTCTTCAAATGCCACTATGTAAACAATATTTAATACGCCAAGTCTTGTCTGTCGCCGACAAAAGATACAACACACCGCCGTTGGGCCTACATTTGCCGAGCCGCCGACACCGACAACAAATTGCAAAACATAAAAAAACAATAACACCGGAGAGAATGCAAATTTTTTTTATTTTTATTGTAAAAGGCAGTAGTGGAGTGTGCAAACAGAATTGATTGGGAGAGGAGAATTAATAATTTTTATTTATTTTCTTCGCTTTATTTCTTCGGCATAAAAAAGTATTGCTTTTAGTTACAATCGTGTCCAATTGGAATTAAATTTTTCGTTTTTGAAACTATTTTCGACGAAATTAAGGTAAGTTTTAGCAGAAAAGTTGAGAATCGTCGCATAGAGTACCTAAATAAATATTTAATCAAGATTAAACGACACTAGTGCAAAAACAAATTCAACAACAAAACAAAAATTAGATAAGCCGCTTATAGTAACAATGCGAATAATGTTTTGCCAAAAAAAATAAAGAAAAAAAATTGTGGCCAATTGAACTGTGAACCAAAAATAACTTGAACACAATCCACACACACACATACGTCTATATACCAACGTGTATATAATTTCGTACATATACAATGTATGCAGATTGCTGTTGAACATACGTTTGGACAGGAGAACAAGAACAACAACAACATTTGCCAGCCCAGTGTCAGCTCCGCCGACTGCGCATCTCATTATCAGACCGTCAAATCGACTAAAAACATCTGTGGCCTCATTAGTGATGTGACCATTAACGGTGCAATGGAATAATCGGTTTTCATACCAAACCTTGTGGAATTGTTCATCTAAATGACCTTGAAATAAACGTAAAGACTTGTGGGGGCAAACATTTCCCTCTGAAAGCCGTTTTAGCTCCATCTGGTTATCAATTGTCTATTAAATTGTTCCCTCAAAGTATGCCACCAAATACTAATATAGCAACGTCGTATAGATGGCGTTCTTTATGACATTGTGCAATAGCAAGAAAGCATCAACAGCGACCCTCATTCAAAAATGTTGGAGCCAGTTTAGATGCCTAAATTAATCGTTTTAAAAAAATTATACATTTAGCACTTGTTCTCCACATTTAGGCTGGTTGACACATCATTTTGGAAATGTATAAAGTGAAGTTCATGTTTGTCATTTTTATACCCTCCATTATTCTATGGAGTGCATATTAGCATTGTCATTCCGTTTGTAACTCCTCGAAATATTCATGATATAACCTACAAAGTATATATATTCTGGATCAGCGTAAGATTCTAAGACGATTTAGTGATGTCCGTCTGCCTGGTGTAATCATGCTATTTTTCGAACAAATTAAGATAGAAGGCTAAAATTTTGCACACATGTGTATTTTGCCAGTAGCCAGGTTAAATTCGAATATGGCCCATGAATTTTTTCAAACTTCATATTCGAAGTTTGTAATGGGTACTAAAGGCTATGCCTAAAAATTTCGTATGGATAGCCCCCAATGAGGTACCTTTATTCGGTATTTAGACGATTTTAGCGGCACTATTCGCCGGAATTGTTTCAAACTTCGAATTTGAAGATCTTAATGGGTACTACAGCCTATGACAAAAATTAGTTTTGCAGGTCCACGTCTTCGTAAAGCCCCCATATAAAGGTCATCACTTAAACGGTAATTTTCGAATTTATTATTTATTTATTTTTTGAATTTTTTCAAGCTCCTTCCAAATGATGGAAGTTATTAATAGTTTGGCCCGATACAAAGTACAAAGATAAAAAAACTGCATAAAAGTCAAACGCCATGATTTTTAATTTTTTTTTTTAATTTTTATTGAATGAAATCAAAAAATGTCGGAAATAGCATCAAATTTTAGAATAAGTTTTGATTTATTCGAATTGGTCACCTTTGGCACCGTCACACGCTGTCCGAATGTTGCTCTGCGGTATTTTGGCCAATTCCCGGCGAGGCGCTTGCTTGGGGTGATCGATACTTTAGTATTTTTTAGTGCCAACCTAAAAATACTGCAGACACAATAGTCCAACGGATTGGTATGAAGCGAGGAACCTCATTTTGTAACCTTCTTGGGTGGCGCGTGCTGAGTCCTGTTGGAATGTCCAAGGTCTGCAGCCAAAATGTTTGCATGCCCAAGACTTTAATACACCCTCCTGAATATTTTCGCGATAATATTCGCCATTTCTTCTGATACCACGGTCGATTAAAACGAGCAGAGAGCGACCATCGACGTTTATGGCGGCCCACACTATCACCATATCCGGCGCTTGAGTTCTGGTGGTCAACTGAAGGTGCATATTTTCAGCTGACCCTTTTTAACAAGTAAACACGATCATTTTGTTTGTTTACAAACTCCTGGACAGCGAATGTTTTCTCATCGGAGAAAACCAAATTCGGCAGTTCACCACTTTCGGCCAAGCGAAGCAATTCTTTAGCTCTTTTGAGTCTAATTTCTTTCTGTTGCGGTGTAAGTTCTTGCACTTTTTGGAATTTCAACGGCTTTAAACCGATCCCATTTTTCAATATTTGCCAAATGGAATATTGCGATATGTTCAGCTCACCAGTCATTTTTCGGCCACTGCGACGCTGGTTTCGATCAAGTCGTTTCTTAACCTTTCGAACCATTACTGCAGATGTTGCTCTTTTCTTCCGTCCACTTCCTTGACGTCGGGCTACGCTACCAGTATCACGGCGATGAGCTATGTTACGAGACACAAAAGATTTATTCACATTTAAATGCTGGAGTGCTCTAACGATAGCTACTTGTGGTTTTCCAGCCAAATATAAAGAAATCACACTATCACGGTCTAATTCCATCACGAATAAGTTTTTTTCTGGAAAATTCTCACCGAAATGTTTTTGCACACTCGTAAACAATATAATGAGCTGTCACTGGAATTATTTTAACAGCTGTCGGACGAGTGGCTTAGAAATGACAGCAGTCTGATGTGGGTTACAGTTTTATTATCTCACCCTGTATATTGAATCTAAACAATTTCAGTCGAATCTACGCAAATACTACCCTTTACCCTCTTCTTGCCTGATCAGTATATCGGAAAACGACCGCAATCGAATTTACCTATTTTTGTCCTCAGAACCGATCCCACGGTTTTTATTTTGGTTACACTAGCCAGCGAAGAAGAATAACAACATCTACATATTAAATATTTGCAAATATTATTTTGCTGATTTGCCCGACAAGTTTTTTGTTGCCATTGCGGTCTTGTTGTTATTTTCACACATCTCTTCCATTAAAAACAATGATAATTGAACATTTTACATGCCCCTACATTTGCATCTCTCCCACAGTGACAAAATAGAACCCAGACAGCAAAGTTAAAACGTTAATTACGAATTAAAGAGTAAGTTTTGGTTGGTCACACGTTAGAGGTTATAAAGAGGTCACTTTTTGAATGAGAGAGATTATAAGTATTATTTATTTTGCTATTTGCTATTTATTTGCTATTTTATAATAAAATTGTTTATATATATTTTTTAGATCTAAAGTTAATCAACAAATAGTCAAAAAATAAAATGTTGAAGTTGACGACGACCCTTGCAAAAGCATGCAACTCGACTGCATTGCGGTAAGTAATAAAATCGTTAAGATTTAAACAAATTAACTTTTCAATATTTATAATGTTTTTTTATACTTACAGCTGCATTTCCACTACAGCACCTGTAAACGAATCAGATTCATGGTTTTCCAAATTATTGGTACGCAAAATTGAACCAACCAAAGAATCCCACAGTCGCATGCTTAGTGACAAAGAAATCATCTATGCCTTACATACACACAATGTCCGTCCAGATTCCATGGAAGATTACATTAAGAACTAGTAAGTGGAGAGATGTTATTTTACATAGTGTAGAGATTTATATTGTAATTTTTTATTCTTTCAGCAAAACAACTGTGGAATTAATCCGAGATAAAAAGGCAAATCTTTCGCAGGAGCTGGTCGCCTCATGGACAGTACAAGTCGGTGATATGGATCAATGTCTTCATCTATGGAAATATACGGGTGGATTTGAGAAAATCGATCAAGCCAAAGAAGATTTGTGGCATGATCCGGTATGTGACAATGAAAACCATTAGCTATATACATATATGACCGGTGAATTTAATTGTGTCTTATTTTTAGGAATATTTGGGTTTAATGAAAGATCGTTCCAAGTTCCTTAGATCTCGTCATTTGCAATATTTGTTGCCTTTTAGTTATTGGCCACAAATTGAAAAGCGTAGTGGTGGCAATATTTATGAAATGCGGTAAGTGTGAAAGAAGTGTATTCATAAGGCTATGTAGTTAGCTGAGCCTGAATTAAAAATCAACCAAATGAATTGAGACCGCATTAATTGATGGGCAACGATAAGTCTTGATGTAGATCCGACTTCGTAGATTAACTTGTGTCAAGTGAGAAGAAGGGAGTCTATACGGCATCCAGAAATAATGTATGTGTTATTGTTATATTTTTTTAAAGAATGGACACTGAAAGATTAATGCTAGTTTACTCAACATATTGGTGTCATATTTGAAGCGATTTCTTCTTCCTGCAACTATTTTTTTGTACTAGAAATGTTTCAATTTTCAAAGCTTTTCTTTCTAGTTTTAACAGGTTAAAAAGCTGTAACTTCGACCTGGTCGAACTTTGAATTCCCTCCACCAGTTGAAACGAATTTGGCAATTTTCAAAAAAAAAAAAAAAAATCGTTAAAAATTCTGTTGAAATCTTAAAAATATCAAATGTGACCCTCATATTAGAGTCTAAACGACGACGTGGACTTGCATAGGAAACTTTTGTTATAAGCCATTAAAATACTCAAATGCGAAACTTGAGAAAATCGGTGAATAAGGTAGCTAAAATCATCAATATAGGGAGGTACCGATATATGGGGGCTATACCAAAATGTGGACCTACACAGAAAATTTTCTGCTTGAGGCTGCAGTATCCATAATGAACCAAATTTGAAACAATTCCGGTGAATAATGTCGCTAAAATCATCAAACTACCAAAGATTGGGAGGTACCGTTATATGGAGGCTATACGAAGACGTGGACCTGCGCAGACAGTTTTCTGTAATAGGCTGTAGTATTCATTACGAACTTCAAATACCAAATTTGAAACAATTCCGGTGAATAATGTCGCTAAAATCATCAAAATACCGAATATCGGGAGGTGCCGTTATATGGGGGCCATGCGAAGACGTGGACCTGTACAGACAATTTTCTGTAATAGGCTGTAGTATTCATTACGAACTTCAAAATTTGAAACAATTCCTGTGAATAATGTCGCCAAAATCAACAAAGTACCGAATATCGGGAGGTACCGTTATATGGGGGCTATACGAAGACGTGGACCTACATACAAAAATGTTTGCCATAGGCTGTAGTACCCATTACGAACTTCAAATACCAAATTTGAAACAATTCCTGTGAATAATGTCGCTAAAATCATCAAAGTACCAAATATATGGAGGCTGTTATATGGGGGCTATACGAAGACGTGGACCTACATACAAGAATTTTTGTCATAGGCTGTAGTACCCATTACGAACTTCAAATACCAAATTTGAAACAATTCCGGTGAATAATGTCGCTAAAATCGTCAAAATACCAGATATGTGGAAGTGCCGTTATGTGGGGGCTATACGAAGACGTGGACCTGCACTGACAATTTTTTGTCTTAGGCTGTAGTATATATTACAAACTTCAAATAGCAAATTTGAAACAATTCCGATGAATAATGTCGCTAAAATCATCAAAATATCGAATATCGGGAGGTACCTTTATATGGGGGCTATAACAAAACGTGGACCTACATGGTCTATTTTCGATACCAAAAGTCCTGCAGACATAATATACATTTGAGTAAAATGTCATCAATCTTCTTCATTTCGTTCGGAAGCTAGAGTGATTTCCAAAGACGGATAGACGGACGGCATATCTAAATCGACATAGAATTTTATGCTGATGCTATATATACTTTGTGGGGTCTAAAATGTATATTTCGAGGTGTTACAAACGGAATGACAAACTTAATATACCCTTCATACCATGGTGTAGGGTATAAAAATGGTGCAGAGCGCCTAAAAGTATGCAAGACAAACTCTAATGGTACATGTTGAAAAGTCACTTAACATATGACTTTAGCATTATGTGTAATATATCCTTTTTGTTATTCGAATTTTGCAATATGTATATTTACTTCTTTTGTTAAGTTTATTTGATCGATTTGTACAATTTTCTAACAATTTGTACAATTTTCTTTAGCTCTTATCGCTTGAAACCTGGTACCATGATTGAATGGGGCAATAATTGGGCTCGTGCCATTAACTTCCGTAAAAACAACAATGAAGCTTTTGCTGGATTCTTTTCGCAAATCGGCCGTCTATATAATGTTCATCATATCTGGTGTAAGTAATAATTACTCGATATTTTTTTCAATTAAATTCCAATAATTTTGACAATCCTTTTTCAGGTTACAAATCTTTGCAAGATCGTAAAGAAACACGTGAAGCTGCCTGGCGTTCACCCGGTTGGGATGAATGTGTTGCTTATACCGTCCCCCTTATTAGAGAAATGCATTGTCGCATTTTGTCTCCTACAGTCTTTTCACCAACTCAATAAAGTGGTGGATGAAATATGGTTTCTGCGTTTGGGTTTTTGTTTTGTGACTGAAGCCAGCCCCCCCTGTAATACTAACGAATAACGTACATAGAAAACCAAAATGTTTAAACATTGTGATTTGAGCTTCAACGAAAACAACGCACATTTATGCATTCATTATTTTTTTTTTTTTTTTTTTTTTTTTTTTTTTGTTCTTTTCTGCTCTTATTAGCTTTGAGAATTATTGTTATCATATACATACACCCATATATATATATTCATATACAGAAATGGTTATATTGAAACGAAAAATCATAGAAACTTTGTTGGTATATTTGAAGAAAGTGTTTGAAACAAAAATTGTTAAGATTTTAATATAAAGTGCATATTATTAATTATAAACAAAGAAAACTGTAAAGCAGCATTTATATTATAAAAAAAAAAAACAAAAAACAATAAATTAAGAAAAACAAATATGTTTTGTAAACAAGAAGAACCAATGCTATATTTTTGAACTATTCCTAGGTTGAGTCGTGGGAGTTTCATAGCATACATTTACTCTTAATGATTCCAGAATCGATGAAAAATCAAAACCATTGACGTAACGGCTGTAGTTCACATTTTGAAAACTAATTTTAGAAATCGTCAGCAAAGTCGGGAAAATCGGTTACTGTAGTAAAAACTTTTACATTCTTGCAGTTCTGGATTAGACCCTATTTTTTGTGGTAAAAAAAGCAAAATATGCTCTCAAAAATGAAAAAGTACGGGAACGGAACAGTAGCAACACTGAGCTAATAATAATAACAAGTTGAAAGATATGTGTGTTTGCAGATTTTTATACCCTCCACCATAGTATGGAGGTTATATTAAGTTTGTCATTCCGTTTGTAACACCTCGAAATATACATTTTAGACCCCACAAAGTATATATATATTCTTGATCAGCATAAAATTCCATGTCGATTTAGCGATGTCCGTCCGTCTATCCGTCTGTGGAAACCACTTTAGCTTCCGAACGAAACGAAGTAGATTGATAAAATTTTACTCAAATGTATTTTATGTCTACAGGACTTTTGGTATTAAAAATGTATTAAAAAGTTCGTAATGGATACTGCAGCCTAAGGCAGAAAATTGTTTGTGCAAGTCCACATTTTGGTATAGCCCCCAATAGTACCTCTCTATATTGATGATTTTAGCTTAATTTTTTAGCTTTTATTATTATAATACGATCCAAATGGAGAAGGGTATTTAAAGTTCGGCCCGGCCGAACTTACAACTTTTTTAAGGTGCAAGTACATAAAAAGCTTGAAGTCATGGCTAGGCATATTAATGTCAAATTATCATTGAAAACGACGGCAGGACTTTAGTGCGGCTCTGTAATCCTTATATGAAATGTCACACAATATGCCTGGCCATGACTTCAAGCTTTTTATATACTTGAACCTTTACTTGTTTTTTTATAAATTTCAATTTTTAGAACCTTTTAGTTCTGGAACACAACTATAGTTTTACCGCATATAATCCAGTGGTTTTCACCTGAAAATTCCGCGTACGGCATATGTGAAATCCAGTTGATTCCCATGCAAGTACGTTTACATTTACGAAATCTACTCGATCTCAAATATCAATTCCATAGCTTATAGTCAGTAGAGGTTTTTACCATCCACTGTATTAATTAATAGGATGTACCTGATGGAATTGTCATTTTAAATCGAGTGGATTTACTAGACTAATCGCGCCCCACGGAGAGACTTGTAATTCAGTTGAGGCACAGGGTAAAAAAAAAGCGCAACAAAGTGAAACGACATAATTTTTACATTTTTTTAATTTTCATTGAATGAAAGCAAAAAAAAATGTCGGAAATAGCATCAAATTTTAGAATAAGTTTAGATTTCTTTGAATTGGTCACCTTTGGCACGAATTATGGGCTTCAAACGGCCAATGAAACCGTCACACGCTGCCCGAATGTTACTCTGCGGTATCTTGGCCAATTCCAGGCGAAGCGCTTGTTTGAGATGATCGACACTTTGGTATTTTTTAGTGGCAACCTTGCTTTCTAAAATACTCCATACACAATAGTCCAATTCGTTGGTATCCGGAGATTTCGTGGCCATTGTGCGCTGGAAATGAAGCGAGGAACCTCATTTTGTGACCATTTTTGGGTAGCGTGTGTTAAGTACGATGGTGCTGAGTCCTGTTGGAATGTACAATGTCTGCGGCCAAAATGTTTGCGTGCCCTGGGCTTTAATTCACCCTCCAGAAAATCTTCCCGATAACATTCGTCATTTATTCTGAGACTCGGTCGATTAATACGAGCGGAGAGCGACCATCGGCTGTTATGGCGGCCCACACAATCACCATTGCCGGCGCTTGAGTTTTGGTGGCCAACCGAAGGTGCACATTTTCAGCTGACCTCTTTGGCAAGTAAACACGATCATTTTGGCTACACTACCAGTATCACGGTGACGAGCGATGGTACGAGACACAAAAGATTTATTCACATTTAAATGCTGGAGTGCTCTAACGATAGCCACTTGTGGTTTCCCTGCCAAATATAAAGAAGTCACACTATCACGCTTGAATTCCATCACGAATAACTTTTTTTCTGGAGCAACGTGAGCAACGTTTTTTATGTAAAAGTATTTGAGTTGAACTGGTAATAATTGGACTGTTCCAGAACTGCAAGAATGTTAACGTTTTTACTACGATAAGGGATTTTCCCTTCAAGAAATCGAAGAAAATTTGTAAATCTAGTAGATTCCTGCAGGTACTGGAACAGATCAAATATTGGCCGAATTTGAATTAAAATATTAAAATTAAGCAAATTGTTAAAATCAGCAAAATCAAGAACTATCGAATAAAAAAATATACTGCTTTATAAGCGCCAATTGTTGCGGATTTTGCTTTACCTTTACAATAAATAATATATTGTTGTGAAAAACACTTGGTATTGCATGAATTTTTGACTAATATGCTTTCTTATTGGATATCATGGTACTTCTAACTAATTTTCATTTTCATATCAATAACCATAATATAAGTAATGGACAAATAAAACACGACTAAAATTCGATATTTGTTGGTTCAAAAATCGTAACATTTCATAATCGATAAATTTACTTATCGAATTATAACAAAAAAAATGTCGCATAAACGACGAAGGTCTAATAGGTCGGCTTTGTACTCCTCGATGGGGCGAGTTTTTTTTTTACCAAGGAATTGTGGATTTTTTTAAGTAAATTATGGCTAAAACAAAACATGAGGAGAAAATATAATGTGAAAAAATAAAACTCGACAATATACTAAAAAGAATTTGCCATAAGAATAATATGAAATATTTGTACAAGTGAAAGAAAAACGGAATTGCAATTACGGCCACAAAACAAAGGCAAAAAATTGGAAAAAAATATAGATGAAAAAAGAAAAAAGGCAGAGAGAGGAGCAGAGAAAACGAGCGCCACCATCAGTGTCATGTGTATATAGTGTGTTTACCCTGTGTTGTGAAAAAGTAAGATTTTTATATATATATTTTTTATATATAGAATAGAATTGCTTGGTCAAGAATCAAAGAATCGAATCGAAAACGTAACGAAAAAGAAAATAGTGCAACAACCACTGAAGTGGGGTTTTCATATTTCTGAAAGATTATTTTCTATTGCTTGGCTGGTGGCTGAAAAGGAGCAGTGCATATACACTTGTGGGGAAAATGGATGAAATAACTTGGAGACTGCAGTCGCTGGAAAAGCGTTTATTGGAGCAAAATGATTCGTCCAGACTGGTTTACGACACATCACCCGTACCCGAAGTTCGGAGACGGCCTGCAGGGTGTAAGTATTATACGTTGTTGAGCAGTGATTTTGAAAGATGGTCTTCGATGTCCTCGCGCATCTTGCATTGGGTCAAAATGCCAGTGATTTGTGATTGGATTTGTAAAGAAATGTTTTTTTTTTTGTTTTTGCTCCCATGTCGCATTTGAGGGATATTTGTTTGTCTCCGTTCGTCCGCGACTAACAATGAACGTCAATGGGCATATAAATATTTGTTCGATCTCACAACATACTTATGTATCGTACATATAATGCGACGTACATATATACAAACACACACACGCACATATGCTTTTACGTTTCTTGGTTATATTTTATTTTCTTATTCTCTGTTGATTGCTACTTCCACCACTTTTTACCTTCTTCGCTTTGAAAATGTTCAATTAATGTTTGTGCTAGCTGGCTATACCACCCTCGCCACCACCCTCAAAGACGTGATATTAGGTTGGTTGGTTTTTTGCAAAGAAAAACGTCTTCCAATTGTCTATTGTTGTTGTTTTTGTACTCTGCTTTCGCATGTCGCCTTGGTAGGCGTCGCTGCAGTGTTATGCGTGGATTTGTTGAACAAAGTGAGTGTTTGTGCGTGTTTTGTTTTGCTTTTTCATTTTTTTTTAAAGATTCGAGAGAGTAATTTCATGTGACAGGGTATCACGGAGAGAATAAAACGAAGATATTTGACTTGTTGTTGGTTTATTTTGAGATTGAGATTTTTGTTATTTCCGGAGCAAATACTTGGCTTGCAGTTGATATGTGCATATTTTTGGTCGTTGTTTTTGTTGTTGCGGTTTTTATGGTTTTTATGAATGAAAAACAGGAAAAAATGCCTTGAACAAAATATAATGATTGTTTTTTTTGTTGTTGCATTGTTTGACTGGGGCTTGGATTTGGGTTAAATGTGACATACACGTCCTTTTCATTGAAGAGGTTAGGTTTTTTAGGATGTGTGTTTGACATGAGGCCCTTAGCCTATTATCTCATTGTGGTCTGGCAGCAGGGGAAACCAACAAATGTTTAAAATATGAAGGTTAAGATGTGCATTAAGGGAATAACCCAACGATAAGTACGGATCTACGCTGACACTAGTCAAATGTCTGCAACCAATATTAAGAACCCAAGTCTTTAACTATAATCTTTAGAAACTCTTTTTTAGAGTTTCTACCACTGTCGCTTTGTTTTTACAAATAAAAAGAGCTGACATTCTTTCTTTAGTCAAATTGATAAAAAAAAATCATTCCATAATAGGGGTATGAAGGTCTCTTTGGACCAAATCCGTTTCAGGATATTTGGAGTCGCTGGTGCGCACGATAACACTTGAAGGAAGTACCCGACTTAATTCAAACTTGGTGCATCGTAATATTATTTTCAAACTTCGATCGAGTTCGGAGATGGTCAATATCGTACCTTCTGGTACCTTCCCCAAAAAAATGTCAACATTTTCAAAGAAAATAATTTACTGCACAGAAAGGGAGATGATAATCCGATTTTGCTCCAGTTTTGGAAATCCTAACATTTGCAGAACTGCTTGAACTGGTGCGAAAAAAGCGGTCCACTCCATCAAGTAACTCCAACATAAAGGGTGAAAATTTTGACTAATTATAACTCATAGAAAATGATGTAAGAGTAAGAGCATAAAATCCGAAATAAGCATCCGGTTCTCTCCAAATTTCACACATCTCATTATTTCTACCAACACAAGATCTGCTGTGAAGATGGGATCTATAGGCTTATGTTAACTCCCCCACAAAGAGGTCAACATTTTGAATATCCATGAAGCTCATAAAACGCGAAATTAACATCCGATTCCATTCTGACTTGTTACATTTCAATATTTTCTTCAACACAAGATTTGTTGTAAATATGATAGAGATCGAAGCATTTCTTCTGGTACCTCCTCACAAAGGATTTAAGATTTAAAAAAACGAAATGAAAATTGAACAAAGCATCCAACTCTCTTCAAATTTCACACATACAAACGTTTTTGCTGACACAAGATCTGTTGTGAAGATGATATGTATCTGCGAACCTCTTCTGGCACCTCACCCACAAAGGGTCACAATTTCTCTTCTTTTATCTGTCATAACTTGCAAAACAATTCTCTTTATTTTGCAACTTGCTATATCTAAATATTTCTCTCAACCACAAAACCTGAGATGAATTTCACAAGAAATTGGATATAAATGTTCGATTTTCTTGTAATTTTGCACATACCAATATTTTTATTCTATATTAGCTGAAGTATGAAAATGGTGTACTTCCGTCAACATATCTGGTACCTCACCCACATTTAAACATTTTCTAAAAATTATCACAGATCTCATGAAAAGTAAAGGAAGTAACCAATATAGTCCGAACCCGGCATGTCGCAGTATTTATATTATATTTATTTAGGACCGATACGAAATGGACAATATTGGCCCATTCCTTCCGAACCTACCTAGAGGGTCAACAATTTGAATAATCATAACACACGTCATTCCCGCCCATTCCCGGCGAAGCGCTTGCTTGAGGTGATCGACACATTGGTATTTTTTAGCGCCAACCTTGCTTTCCAAAATACTCCAGACACAATTGTCCAACGGATTGGTATCCAAAAAAATTGGTGGCCTTTATGAGCTGCAAATGAAGCGAGGAATCTCATCATTTTGTAACCACTCTTGGGTGGCGCGTGCTGAGTGCAATGGTGCTGAGTCCTGTTGGAATGTCCAAGATCTTCGGCCAAAATGTTTGCGTACCCAGGCTTTAATATGCCCTCCAGAATATTTTCGCGATAATATTCGGCATTTATTCTGATACCACGGTCGATTTATACGAGCGGAGAGCGACCATCGGCTGTTATGGCGGCCCACACATTTTCAGCTACCCCTTTGGCAAGTAAACACGATCATTTTGTTTGTTTACAAACTGTTGGACAACGAATGTTTTCTCATCGGAGAAAACCAAATTCGGCAGTTCATTACTTTCGGCCAAGCTAAGAAACTCTAACTCTTTTGAGTCTATTTTCTTTTTGTTGCGGTGTAAGTTCTTGCACTTTATGGAATTTCAATGGCTTTACCCCGGTCTCATTTTTCAATATTTGTCGGAAATGGAATGTTGCGATATGTTCAGCTCACGAGCCATTTTTCGGCCACAGCGAAGCGGGTTTGGATCAAGTCGCTTCTTTACTTTTCGACCCATTTCTGCTGATGTTGCTGTTTTCTTCCTTCCAATACCTTAACGTCGGGCTACGCTACCAGTATCACGGTAACGGGCGATGGTACAAAAGATTTCTCACATTTAAACGCTGGAGTGCTCTAACGATAGCCACTTGTGGTTTCCAGCCAAATATAAAGAAATCACACTATCACGCTTGAATTCCATCACGAATAACTTTTTTCTAGAAAATTCTCACCAAAATGCTTTTGTACGCTTGTAAACAATATAATAAGCTGTCACTGGAAAAATTTTAACAGCTGTCGGACGAGTGGTTTAGTAATGACAGCAGTCTGAAGTTGGTTGCATCTTTTTCATCTCACGCTGTTCTTTCCTTAACCAGATAGTTCGATTTCATAACTTCTGAACGATGTACTTTTCTAAACCATAGGGATGCTCATTGGTTTGACTTCAATGAGCTCACAATGGTAACTACATAGAACCGTCCACTACTTTTTTGATACCCGTATATCAGAAATGATTTTTCAAGAAATCATGAAAGCTTCAAGAAGCTAATATACAACAGCGGGGATACGTCAAGGCGTTTCCGCAGCTATGGCTCAACTATTTTCAGTATAATATGGCCGTTTTAATTCGTGTTGGGAGCATTATACTGATGTACGAGAAAATGTTAAAGATTTTTGGCTATGATGTCAAGTAGCTGAATTTAGAAATTTTGAATAAATTTGAATTTAGAAACTTAAACTAAATTTTATTAAATGAAGGCAAAAAATGTCGGAAATATCATCCAATTTCAGAATAAGTTTAAATTTGTTCGAGTTGGTCTCCTTTGGCAGGAATTATGGCCTTCAAACGGCCAATGAAACCGTCACGCGCTGCCCAAATGTTGCGATATTTTGGTCCATTCCCGGCAAAGCGCTTGTTTGAGGTGATCGACACTTTGGTATTTTTTATTTCCAACCTTGCTTTCAAAAATACTCCAGACACAATAGTCCAACGGATTTGTAACCGGAGATTTTGGTGGGCATTGTGCGCTAAAAATGAAGCTAGGAATATCATTTTGTAATCATTCTTGGGTGGCGCGTGCTGAGTCCTGTTGGAATGTCCAAGGTCTGCGGCCAAAATGTTTGCGTGCCCAAAGCTTTAATACACCCTCCAGAATATTTCTCGCGATAATATTGGGCATTTATTCTGAAGTCGATTAATACGAGCGGCCCAGACCATCACCATGGCCAGCGCTTGAGTTCTGGTGGCAAACCGAAGGTGCACATTTTCAGGTGACCTCATTGACAAGTAAACACGATCATTTTGTTTCTTTACAAACTGCTGGACAACGAATGTTTTCTCATCAGAGAAAACCAAATTCGACCGTTCACCATTTTCGGCCAAGCGAAGCAACTCTTTAGCTCTTTCGAGTCTATTTTCTTTCTGTTGCGGGGTAAGTTCTTGCGCTTTTTTGGAATTTCAATGGCATTATCCCGAGCTCACTTTTCAATATTTGCCGAATGGAATATTGCGATATGTTCAGCTCGCGAACCATTTTCGGCCACTGTGATGCGGGTTTCGATCAAGTCGCTTCTTTACTTTTTGAACCATTTCTGAACTATGATGTTGCTGTTATCTTGCCTCCACATCCTTGACGTCGGGCAACCCTACCAGTATCACGGTAACGAGCGATGGTACGAGACACAAAAGATTTATTCACATTTAAATGCTGGAGTGCTCTAACGATAGCCACTTGTGGTTTTCCAGCTAAATATAAAGAAATCACACTAACACGCTTGAATTCCATTACAAATAACTTTTTTCTGGAAAATTCTCACCAAAATGCTTTTGTACGCTTGTAAACAATATAATGAGCTGTCACTGGATATATTTTAACAGCTGTCGCTTAGAAATGACAGCAGTCTGAAGTTGGTTGCAGTTTTTTCATCTCAACCTGTATTCGAAAATTTAGAACTCGAGATCGAATGCAAAAAAAAAATTGTGATACAATGGTTTTCTCAATACCTGAATTACTGGCATTTACTGCATCGAAGCCAAATAATGTTGGAATGTGCTCACTAACAAGTTATTTACTCCCTCTATTTTTATCTCACAACACCGTCTAAGACCTTAGCCTGTCAAATTTGCAAAGAATTTCATGAAACTGGTCTAGTGACAATCAATTGCCTAACGATCCACTAATTGAAGGTTGCGGAATATAGTTTTATTTGTTTACTAGGTTTCGTTCCATAATATCCATCTACGGTTTACCTATCCATTTTTTGCTGAAAACTGATAACGCCTGACTAGGCTACATAAAACTGAAAGTTTTCTTTTTTAGTTTTGGACTTAAAGCTATCATGCAAGATGTTTACATTACTTGTTATTCTGGTGACTGAAAAGCCCTTAAGTTTGGAATTTGTTTTTGATCTGTTTCGAAGGAGCAAATTATTTAATATATTTTTCTTTCACAACCATCGGTGTTTGTTATCCGGCAATTTTGCAATGAAATTCGGAATAAATGGACGATTTCGACAAAAAAAAAAAAAAAAAAAAAAAAAAAAAAAAAAAAATGATAGGCATATTAAGCCAAATTCTCATTACGTCTAAAGAAGCACTTTTACTCCACTCTACTTAGATTTCCATAACTAAGCTCTAATCTTGTGGATGGTGTAAGGTCTCATAGATTTTGTAACGTTCTTAAAATTTTTTGATAATTGAGAACAGTAATGAGATATGATTCCTTAGTGATTTACAAAGGGATCTTGCTTAACGTTTGTAGTCTGAATGAAGGTTGTTAATATAAAATTTTATATTTTCCTAGGTTAATGTCATCGAAGACCACCTCTTCTCCTTGAGACTCACATTGTACTATTAAAGCTAAAGTTTTTTTTCTCTTTGTCTTTGTCTTTTACTTTTACATTGGTTTTACATTTGATAAAAATTGGGAATAACTTAAATGCTCCATGTTATTATTCTTTCCAGTGGATAGCATACCAAATCGTAGCAGAATGACATTAAACTTACCACATTCACCTGCCCCAGCTACCGAATCTGAAACGGAACGCAAATTGAGGAAAATTCACAAACAGTCTGGTATTTTAACAATAAATAATAACAAATACAAATCCGACATAAAAGATCTCGAACATCTGGGTGACTTGGGTAATGGCACCAGTGGGAATGTTGTTAAGATGCGCCACAAACAAAGTGGCACCATTATTGCGGTGAAGCAAATGCGTCGTACCAGCAACATCGAAGAGAATAAACGTATTCTCATGGACTTGGATGTGGTACTGAAATCACATGACTGCCCATATATAGTACAATGTTTTGGATGTTTTATAACGGATGCAGATGTGTGGATATGCATGGAATTGATGTCGATGTGTTTCGATAAATTACTAAAGCTATCTAAAAAACCGGTACCAGAACCAATTTTAGGAAAGGTGACTGTGGCGGTAAGTTTCAAAATGATCGTATATTTATGAATTGAAAGAATTTACTAATTGTATTTTGTTGTATTTCCACCTCCCCACAAAAAAGACTGTAAAAGCGTTATCCTATCTTAAGGATACACATGGTGTAATACATCGCGACGTCAAACCTTCAAACATTTTAATCGATGAACGTGGTAACATAAAACTCTGTGATTTTGGCATTAGTGGACGTTTGGTCGATTCCAAAGCAGCCACTAGATCGGCAGGATGTGCCGCATATATGGCCGTAAGCCAATTTGATGTGGTCCTATTGGGAAACATATATAATATATTTTGTTTTTATTGCAGCCTGAGCGCATCGATCCCAAGAAAATCAAATATGACATACGGGCTGATGTTTGGTCTTTGGGTATTACCTTAGTGGAATTGGCAATAGCTCGATCACCATATGAAGGTTGTAAAACAGATTTTGAAGTTCTAACAAAAGTCTTAGACAGCGCTCCACCAACATTACCAGAAGATGAACATTTTCATTTCAGTGACGAATTTCATAGTTTTGTGAAAAAATGGTAAGTAGTTCTTTTTAAATCAGATGATAAAAGTGATATTTTGTAACGACAATAAAACAGAAGGGACTTAAGGGGATCAGAAAAAAATGTAAACTTCTTAAGTGACAAGTATTGTCACAGTTCGTGATATATATAATTGTTAAGATATTCATATCGATTTCAGGATGAAATCAATGTAGTATCTTTAGATTTTTTACAATAATATCAAAACAATCCATAACTAATCTAATTTTAAAGCAATTACAGGGTGAGATAAAAATCTGCAACAAAGTCAAACGACATAATTTTTACATTTTTTTTAAATTTTAGTGAATGAAAGCAAAAAATTTTGGAAGGAGCATCAAATATTAGAATAAGTTTAGATTTGTTCGAATTGGTCACCCTTGGCACGAATTGTGGCCTTCAGACGGCCAATGAAACCGTCACACGGTGCCCGAATGTTGCTCTGCGGTATTTTGGCCCATTCCGAGAAGCGCTTGCTTGAGGTGATCGACACTTTGGTATTTTTTAGTGCCAACCTTGCTTTCCAAAATACTCCAGACACAATAGTCCAACGGATTGGTATCCGGAGATTTTGGTAGCCATTGTGCGCTGGAAATCAAAGTTGGGTGGCGCGTTCTGAATGCGATGGTGCTGCTTTATGGTGTGATTTCTTTATATTTGGCTGGAAAACCACAAGCAGCCATCGTTAAAGCACTCGAGTATTTAAATGTGTATAAATCGTTTGTGTCTCGTACCATCTCTCGTTACCGCGATACTGGTAGCATGTGTACATGCGAAAGAGGTCAGCTGAAAATGTGCACCTTCGGTTGGCCCCCAGAACTCAAGCGCCGGTCATGGTGATGGTGTGGGCCACCATAACAGTCGATGGTCGCTCTCTGCTCGTATTAATCGACCGTGGCATCAGAATAAATGCCGAATACTATCGCGAAAATATTCTGGAGGGTGCATTAAAGCCTTGGGCCACAAACATTTTGGTCGCTGACCTTGGACATTCCAACAGGACTCAGCATGCGCCACCCAAGAATGATTGCAAAATTAGGTTCCTCGCTTCATTTCCAGCGCACAACGGCCACCAAAATCTCCGGATACCAATCCGTTGGAATATTGTGTCTGGAGTATTTTGGAAAGCACTAAAAAATACCAAAGTGTGGGCCAAAGGAATGGGCCAATTTTTATTCGTGGGAAAATGTGCCAAAAATCATCAAAATCTCGAATATCGGGAGGTACCGCTATGTGGGGCTATACAAAAACGTGAACCTATACATACAATGTTTCGCCAACGGAGCTAGAACCCATTATGACCAACAAATACCAATTTTTAGACAAATCCGTGAAAAAATGGTTCAAAAATCATCAAAATACCAAAAATAAATACCAATAAATATGCGGACTATACCAAAACGTGAACCGATATATCTCATTTTCAATACCAACCATCCTAGACACAATACAAATTGTTCTGCTAAATTTTGACGCTCTACGTCAAATAATGTGTGCTGTATCGGGATTTCAACAGACAAACAGATAGACGGACGGACAGGCGAACATCGTTAAATCGAATTAGAATTTTATGCTGATTATGAATATATATACTTTATGGGGTCTACGACGAATATTTAGGAATGTTACAAACGGAATGACAAAGTTAATATACCCTCCTTTCCAAGATGGAGGATATAAAAATTTTAAAATTATGGCGTTTGATTTTGTTGCAGTTTTTTATCTCATCCTGTATATTAGTTTGGAACTACCCATCCAAAATAGTTCAGAAGCAACCCCCTTAAGCAAAACATTTAAGGAATACTAAAATACTATTCTTCTATAATTATGGCATTTCATGACATTAAATTGAAATTGAAATTTCAAAAATTGAAATTAGATTTTAGTTTTTGAAATAACTATTTTATATTTAAATTGTTATGCCTTATTTCGCATTATTTCTGTTTTCATTTCAGTTTGAAAAAAGATCATCTTCAACGTCCCAAATACCCAGAACTTTTGGTGCAGCCTTTTATTATCTATTATGAAAACGCTGAAGTCGATATACCGAAATGGTTTAAATCTGTTGTTGATTCAACGAGTATTAAGACACATCGTAGGTGAGTAATCATGAAATTTATATAGAATTCAATACAACCAATATTGATTATTTTAATTTTGAAAACCAACAACAGACTAGTGCTTGCTTTGAATAATTTTGAAATATAATTAAAAATTATATTTTTTTACATAAAAATCTAATTTTGTATAAATTTAATTTTTCTTTATTTTTTTCTTTATTAACAAAATTAATCATTTCCCTTTTTCGGTTTAAAATATTAATTGGTTATGTTGTTATTTTATTACTTATATTCCGTTTTGTTGTTATATTTGTTGTTTTTATTTTTTTTTTATTAATCTTTTTATTTGTAGGTAACTTTAATTCTAATCCCTATAAACAAACAAACTCCCCTACATACAAAATAAAACAGAAATGAAATAATAAACTGAAAAAAGTTATTATTTTTATACAAAAAAATAATAAAACTGCATCAAAAATCGAAACAAATAAACGTTAAACTTAACAACAACACACATAGTTTGAGTTGTTTTTAAAACAATACAAACAAATTGTAGAATACATTTACATGAATGTACTTTTGTTCGTTCTTCCCCCCCCCAATGTCCCCGTAAGTACTACTTTTTTATTTATTTAATTTCATTGTGATACTTTTTATTTAACTGTTATAAAATGAAATATGGAAACTTTCGAAAAAAATATGTTTAAAAGAATACTTCAAATTATGTAAGATTTAAAATTTAATATTAATTCATTATACTCTTTCAGTAAAATAGAGAAAAAACTTGTTTCCATATTTTTTTTTTGCTTATTTATTATAATTGCATTCTACTTGGTTTCGTGTCTATTTGCTTACCATACTAATCAGATTTGCATGTTTTATATTCCCAAGTAATTAAGATTTCTTACTATTGATTTTTATTTCAATTCTTAAATGTAAATATTTTATCGAAATAAAAAACGCAAATATATTTAAAATCAAACACATTTAAAAACACAAACAATGACAGGCTTATGGAGATAATTTATTTAGATGCCCTTCAGTTTCTAAGAAGCGCACATTAGTGCAGACATTACTGTCAAGTGTCAAGGTTTAAGACATTCTCTATGATAAAAGTATTTTTTGGATTGATTTAGGGATGGGCAGCTTCACGGGAGTCAGTAACTGCTTTACTAGAAGACCTTTGGTCTATTGTTTTCACCTTATGAAGGATAAAGTTGTTGGTGATAAGAGAGATAAATTTTTACATTTCTTTTTAAATTTTATTGAATGAAAGTAAAAATGTCGGAAATAGCATCAAATTTTAGAATAAGTTTAGATTTGTTCGAATTGGTCACCTTTGGCACGAATTATGGCCTTTAAACGGCCGATGAAACCGTCACACGCTGCCCGAAGTTACTCTGCGGTAATTTGGCCCATTCCTGGCGAAGCGTTTACTTGAGGTGATCGACACTTTGGTATTTTTTAGTGTCAACCTTGTTTTCCAAAATACTCCAGATACAATAGTCCAACGGATTCGTATCCGGAGATTTTAGTGGTCATTGTGCGCTCGAAATTAAGCGAGGAACCTCATTTGGTAACCATTTTTGTGTGGCGCGTGCTGAGTCCTGTTGGAATGTCTGAGGTCTTCGGGCAAAATGTTTGCGTGCGTAAGGCTTTTAATTGGTTGCACCTTTTTCATCTCACCCTGTATGTATGAATGAACGTTAGAGTTTTTATCTCCCACCTGCCAAATAGCCTATGTCTCTTGTTGGATAACATGGGACATCTGCATATTAGGTGTTCAATCGTTTTTACTTCTTCATCTTTACATAGTCTACAGTAGTCAGTTATTTCATCTTGAGATCAGATGTGTGATACTGGAGTGGCCAGTCAGTATGCCTATCGCGATAATTAGATCAAACCTACTGAGTGATAGGAGATAGCTTGTTCTTCTTCTCGAAATTAAAGGGCAGATGACCTTAAATATCCTAAAACCGGTCTTTAAGTGCCATATTATTCCAGCTTCTATGATGAGAGATTTTTTGGAGCAGCTGACAGAATAACTCATTGGTGGTTTATTAGTCTCATCACTTGTTGTTGTTGCAGCAGTGAAAGCCAAAGATCCCCTGGACGGAGTTGGGTAGGCTGGACAATTAAACAGGTGCAGCGTATTGTGCGGGCCTGTTTCGCACGCTGGTTAGGCGTGTTCCGTACATCTTTATCAATCCGTGCCCAATATGAATTGAGACGGCTGCACCATCCTTAACGTAGTTGGACCAAAACTACCCTGGTTTGCCGTTGACCGTATCAAAGGCCTTTGGTAGATCAAGAGTCACCGCTACTGTTCTATGGCACGGCCTGTTCTGGTTGAGTCCTCTGACGGATATGTGTGGATCTGGCATGCAACGTTGTTTTGGTACTATTTAGTGGATGGAAACCATGTTGATGGTTAGCAAGTGAATAGCTTCCTCTGATACTCGAGAGTCTTTGCTACTGGCAACAAACGAAATTGGCCTGTATTATTCGCTTTGCTGGCATCTTGCCTGACTTCAGTAGCGGGACCACCCTGTCCATTTTCCAGGCATCGGGAAGTATGTGGGTGGCTAACAACAAATTAAGGACTTTGGTTAAATACTCAACTCCCGGCGTATCCAGTTGCTTCAACATCACCATTGATATTTCGTCCGGGCCCAACGCTTTAAATGACTTGACGTTTCTGATGACATTCGCAACATCACCCATCGTAAACTGTGGAGGTACATCCTCGGCGGGAAGAGGTCTTATACGACGTAGTACTCTCATCAGTCGGTAAATCAATCGACTGAAAACATTATCGAGCTAATTCATTAGCTATCGAGCTAATTTATAAGCATTCCCCACTATTGCAATCACGTGATTCAATGAGGACCAAAGAGTAGACTGATGTGTGAATAGATTCTGAATCCAAGTTTATTTTAGACTCCTGCCAACACTTGAAAATATACTAAGGAAATCTTGTTGATCTCTTAAAACGGGATCTATAGTAGTTTTTGCGGTACCGATGAGATCAACCCATGTAAGTGGTATACAATGAAGAAATATTCAATACTGCCAGAAGAGACCGAAATAGGGTGCCTATTACATCGAAATAGGGGGCCTCCCCATGACAGCTTTTGATAACTGGTTGGTCTCTTAAAACGGCGTCTACCGTAGCTTTTGCTGTACCGGTGAGATCAACCCATATAAGTGGTACACAATGAACTGCCTACCCATGGCACCCATCTTCCGATAACTCACATGTACGCCGACTCAATAGATTGCTTTAGATCAGCAGGACTCAATAGTATTCTGTAATTAAAGAATACTTCCAGCATAATAATATCATCTACCTGCTTGAAATTAGATTTGTATGGAAATAGTTAGGAAATGGTTCTTCTTCAAAGATATTGCCAAATACTTTGAAAACTTGCAGCCAGACACCTTTGGGCCCCCTGAAGGTTCTGTAAATCATAAGTATATTTACACTATACTTGATTTTAATTTTTATGGGATCATATTACGCGCATACTCAAATTCCGATCTTAAGTAGCGCCATTGTCATTGTTTTCAATTGAAAAAACTTTATAAATGTCCGTAAATAACAACTAAAATTGTATTGGATTCAAACATACTTGTAACAATATTTTCTCTTTCCCCTAATTTTTTTAGGACTCAAATACCCACATCGATGATCCCGGCAACATATGATGCTACCAAACATTATAGGAGTCCACACAATGCTTTAATTTTCGATACATCAGCATCGTCGTCGTCATCTGCAGCAGCAGCATCATCATCGTTAAATACTAATCCATTTGTAACAGGAGCTACAACAGCAACAGCAACGACAACAATGACAATAAATACAACAAAATCCTCATTAGCAACAACAGCAGCATCGGCATCATCACAACAATCACACTCACAGATACCAAGCTATTACGGCACAGGAAGCCATTATCAGCCACAACGTAATAACAGTTTTCATAGAGAACATCAGAAGCATCAGCAGCCGTCACAACTACCTCAATCTATAAATCAATATAATGGCAGTAATGCAACAACAAGCACAGCAACGATAAACTACAATCAGGGATCAACGATGACAACAACAACAACAGCAGCAGCAGCCGCTACATCAGGATCAACACCTAACTTTGGTACTGCGAGACCGAGCTTGGAGCGACTACCAAGTGGGTCGGGCAGTAGCAGTGCCACTAGTTCAAGTCCTTTATCACCGCCAAGCATAACTACGCTCACCACAAATCCAGACCGGGATACAAAATTAGTTAACGAAATGCATAAATTATGTCGCAAATCACCATTTATGCCAAAGAAATACAATGGCTCATCTTCAAACAATCGGTACAATGCATCGGCAGCGACAGCGGGTGGAGGTGATGAAAGTCCCAAAAAGGAATCTGTATTGTCTTCAATAGGTAATTCTCGCAATGTAAACGATGACTTTTCAATATCTTACGCATTTGTGTTTTCTTTATTTTTAGGCCAATCAATTTTACGCAACTTAACAACATCACCCTTTAGTCAGAAGAAAAACACTTCCAATACGGTGCAACCGAATCAAATCGATCCACTATTTCGTATGCCTTGTGCCCAGGATGTTAGCTATTCAGCATTTGATACCATGGATCATGCATCAAATGTGAATAAATCGAATGCTACAGATTCACCAGCCCTTCAGCGTAAAAGGTATCAAATGGGCAGTGATTCGAAATATAATACGACCGCTGCCAAAAAACCTTCCACCGACACTAGTCCCAGTACTATTGCTGCATCAACCGGGGTGGATATATTCGAGAGTTTCCAAGATAAACCGCAAGAATTTCACGAAGGCAAAACATCTTCAGTGATACCACCACCAACGACAACAGCAGCAACAACAACATTGACCAAAAATGAAGCTCAACCGCAACGTGTTCCAGGCAATCATAGTCCTTTAGGTAAGTGTGACAAGAACTACAGAAAACAATAAAATAAACGGATGTGTGTCGTCTTCACAAAATCTTAGTTCCAATATTTTATAAAAACTTTATTTTGTTTATCTTGTTTATGTAAAGTTTTTATACCCTCCACCATTCTATGGAGGGTATACTAACTTTGTCATTCCGTTTGCAACTCCTCGAAATATTAATTATAGACCCTACAAAGTATGTATATATTCTGGATCAACGTAAAATTCTAAGACGTCACTGTTGTAATCACGCTATTTTTCGAACAAATTGAGATAGAAGGCTAAAATTTTGCATGCATGCATAGTTTACCAGTAGGCAGGTTCAGTTCGTAAATGGGTCATGTCGGTTCAAGTTTTCGTATAGCCGCCATATAACGGTACCCCCCGATATTCGGTATTTTAAAATTTTATATTTGAACTTCGTAATGGGTACTACAGCCTATGACAAAAATTTTTGTATGCAGGTCCAAGTTTTCGTATAGCCCCCATATGACGGTACCACCCAATACTCGGTATTTTTATGATTTTTGCGACATTGTTCACCGGAATTGTAACAAATTTCGTATTTAAAGTTCGTAATTCGTACTACAGCCTATGACAAAAAAAAGGTTTATATTTTTTTTAAATTTTATTGAATGAAAGCAAGAAATGTCGGAATAGCTTCAAATTTTAGAATAAGTTTAGATTTGTTCGAATTGGTCACCTATGGCACATCAAACGCTGCCCGAATGTTGCTCTGCGTTATTTTGGCCCATTTTGTAACCATTCTTGGGTGGCGCGTGCTGAGTGCGATGGTGCTGAGTCCTGTTGGAATGACCAAGGTCTGCGGCCAAAATATTTGCGTGCCCAAGGCTTTAATACACCCTCCAGAATATTTTCGTGATAATATTCGGCATTTATTCTGATGCCACGGTCGATTAATACGAGCGGAGAGCGACCATCGGCTGTTATGGCGGCCCACACCATCACCATGGCCGGCGCTTGAGTTCTGGTGGCCAACCGAAGGTGCACATTTTCAGCTGACCTCTTTGGGAAGTAAACACGATCATTTTGTTTGTTTACAAACTGCTAGACAACGAATGTTTTCTCATCGGAGCGGAGAAAACCAAATTCGGAAGTTCACCACTTTCGGCCAAGCGAAGCAACTCTTTAGCTCTATTGAGTCTATTTTCTTTCTGTTGCTGTGTAAGTTCTAGCACTTTTTGGAATTTCAAAGGCTTTTACCCGAGTTCATTTTTCAATATTTGCAGAATGGAATATTGCGATATGTTTAGCTCACGAGCCATTTTTCGGCCACTGCGACGCGGGTTTCGATCAAGTCATTTCTTTAATTTTCGAACAATTTCTGCTGATGTTGCTGTTTTCTTCCGTCCACTTTCTTGACGTCGGGCTACGCTACCAGTATCACGGTAACGAGCGATGGTACGAGACACAAAAGATTTATTCACATTTAAATGCTGGAGTGCTCTGACGATAGCTACTTGTGGTTTTTCATTGTGCACCAAATGTACTGAATTTTGGCAATTCCGACTTAGTTTATCCTAGAAACAAGTACTTTAAATTTCGAAAATCGGCTCAGATATAGCTATAGCTCCCATATATATGTTTCATCTGTTTTGGTGTTCCTCATATATGTTATATGAACTCCACAACAATGATATTTTATACCGTACACCAGATACAGCTCCACCATATATGTAATTTCAGCCCAAATTGAATAGATTTTTTCATATCCAACCGAATTTTCCATTTGGTGAAACTCGGTCTGGTATTGCTCCAATAAATATATTTTTAATATAATTCTTATCGAAGTCATATCAAGCACTATACGGCAATGTTATTTGGTACTAAAGGTACAAAATCCTCCGTCAAATTTGTTGAAAATCGATTCAGAGTTGGATAGTGGTCCCAAATTGCGACTACTCTACATGATACGCATTCTAATAAGGTTCATAGTTGTTACGATCTACTTCACAAAAATTACCAATATAAACATTTTTTGGTTACGGGAGATCTATCACAAAGTCGGCCCGGCCGACCTTTGATCTTATTTTACTGGTTTTTAAATGACAAAAAACTTGGCCTTGGTTTTTCTACATGATTGATTATAAAAGCCGTACCACTATACAGAATAGTCTCTGACTAGACATGGTAGAGCAAATTGACATCCTTATGGATAAACTGAACTTTTCCAGTTGTTAAACCCTCCTTCTTGGAAAGGAGGGTATATTAGCTTTGTCATTCCATTTCTAACATCTCTAAATATTCGTCGTAGACCCCATAAAGAATATATATTCATAATCACCACAAAATTCTATGTCGAGTTAAAGGTGTCCGTCTGTGTGTCTGTTGAAACGTAGAACTTCAAAATTTGGCAGAACAATTTGTATTGTTTCTAGGATGGTTGGTATCGAAAATGAGATATATCGGTTCACGTTTTGGTACAGTCCGCATATTTATTGGTATTTATTTTTGGTATTTTGAAGATTTTTGCCACATTTTTTCGCGAATTTGTATTTGTAGGTTACAGGGGGTTTTTGCTTGTGTGGCGAAACATTGTATATATAGGTCCACGTTTTCGTTTAGCTCTCATATAACGGTACCTCCCGATATTCGGTATTTTGATAAAAAAAAAAATGGTATTTGCAGTTCATAATGGGTTCTAGCCCGGTGGCAGAACATTGAATATTTAGTTCCACGTTTTTCTAAAGCGCACATATAACTATACCCACCGATATTCGGTATTTTGATACTTCTAGTCACATTTACCCACATAAATGTTTTAAATTTGGTATTTTAGAACATTTGATAGCCGTTTTGGTATGGCCCCATATAATGGCCTCATTCACTTTATGGTTTTTTGATAAATTTAACGGTATTATGCAAAAGGTCTTACTGGTATATGAAGTTTAAAGTGAAACACGCTTGAATTCAGATAATTTATATAAAAATTTTTGCTTTACCCTAAGGTGGAGGGCATTGCAAGTTCGGCCGGGCCGAACTTAATGTTTTTTTACTTGTTTTATTATATTTTCTTCTAATAAAAACTTGTTCTTTTCTTTCAGTCCTTCAACGTTTCTATCATCAACAAAATCAGCTGCGCGAAAAGGAGCTAGAACGACAACAATATCAACAAAGTCATCACACGTTTTATAATAAAAATTCACCCTCATCATCCAATGATATCACAAATCCCTTTCATCATCCAAATTTGTATCATACATCTGCGTCGTCGCCACAACAGCAACAGCAACAACACCAACATTTTAGTTCTCACATACCAATTGCCTCATCCAGCACACTGTCATCGTATTCTACGTCTAGTCAATCATCTACACAATCTTCTCAATGTTCACAAGTTGGCGGTGATATGCCATCATCAGCTCAACAACAACAGCAGCATCATCACCATGGACCAAGAAGTTTACCATTAATGTCAAGTTATGACAGTAAATTATCTTCATCGCCCACATCACCCCCACAAGCGCAGACAGCAACAATGGGCTTTGGTACGAACGCAACGCAAGCATCACCAACTTCGGCGTCAATCAATGCCACAGGACATTTGCAATATCAACCACTGCCTCAACATTATCTTACAAATACTCCCTATGCAAATGTTATGCGCGGTTCAGGATCACCGCCAATATCGCCACCCGACGATGCGGGTAATCAACGAATGGGTGTCACAAGTCCTACAGTCTCCAAACTAAGTAAACTCTACAATCAACGGCATCAGGGTAATATGTCACCTTCAACAGCTGCTGCGGTGGCAGCCTCAGCTTCAATAACCAATGCAAATAATGCTGGAACATCGTCAGCTGCCACAAAGGAAAATAACTATAAAACGGAAAGCGGTAAGTGTTGTAATGCGTTTTTTTTCGGTTCTTTTTTATTATGGTTTTGTTTTCAGTTCAGTTCTTTTGCATTTCAAAATATTGCTTGGCTTTACATTTGAATATACATGAAAACACATTGCATAATAAGGAAAGGATTAACTATGAAATTTGTATGAAGAAAAAAGGTTTTTGCATTTGTTTGTTATGCTGATACACAAGGTTATAAATAACGAAATGGCAATAAAAGGGTTCATCCAAAGTAAAAAAAAATAATTGTAGGAGAATTGCAGGTTACTATTTTGATTTTGCTTAAAGCAACTCAAGAATAATTGTTCCATCGTCAGGCTCTTAATGAAAGATAAAAGTATACAAAAAAAAAAAAGAAAAAAAAAAAACATAATCCTCCCACTAATAGGAAAAATTGCAATTCACCAATTTCGGCCAAGCGAAGCAACTCCTTAGCTCTTTTAGTCTATTTTCTTTCTGTTGTTGTTGCCATGTAAGTTCTTGCAGTTTTGGAATTTTAATGGCTTTATCTCGAGCTCAATTTTTTCATCACACCTTGTATTTATTGCTATGCCTGGACTTATGTGTCACGACGACTGTACCAGCATGAACGTTGTTGATTTGATTGGACAGCCTATGTTCTTCAACAGCCATGAATTCAACAGCCAACATTCATGCTGTATTAGCTCATAACTATAAATACTACTCAGACCTGTCTTTGTGGGGGAGTTCTATCCACCATACAATGATTTGGATAATTTCCAGGTTAACACTAATGGGGGTACTGAAACGAAAGAATTTGTAAATAATGACGTACGGGAAGAACCTTTGTCTCCTCATGTAAATGGTCCACTGGTGTTGATGAAAAGGCAAGTTTTCAACATATTCATATTCCTCGCCTGGGAGAAGGCGATAAATTCCATGAGATAACTATTAAACCACACAACACATAATGCCATAAATGATAGGATCTAAGTCCAAGATTGTGCAATCGCTCCCATACATAATGATCTCAATTTCGTCTGTTGTTGTTGTAGCAGCTCATACTGCTGTGTTCGATCTCACTCTTCTCATTCGGGTCCTGCCTCCAAGTCCAGTCTCAAAACAAAAAAAAAAAGCAACCTGCAAGTGGGTTGGGTCCACAACGAGACTGGAGTTAGGTGACTAGGTTTGGCCTGACAGCGAAGAAGGTGCAGCGTGTCATGTGGTCCTATGCTACAAGTTGGGCAGAGGCGGAGGCACCATGCGGATCTTAATTGAGCCAAAACTACTCTGGTTTGTCGGGGTAGCTCTCGCTCTTCAGTTGCGATGAGAGGGGGATGGTCTTCTAATACAGTATTCACTCTTTCTTCCATAACATCTGAGACCGCGTTAGATTGAATACTATTCAGTCCCGCTTATAGGACTGTTGATCTAATCTGATCCTTTGTACCTCTCTCTCCTCGCCTGGGCGCAGGTTGCCTATCCACCAGATGGTGATACGGATGGCTACGTCGGTAACACCCAAGCAGGTATTGCATTGACACCACACCGGAGCCGCATAGTTTACGACAGACCGGCCTATCGCGTTGTAAGAGGTCAACAAGGTTTCCTTATCAGCTCCCCAAGTGCTGCCGGCCAGAGACTTGAGAAACTTGTTCCTATTTCTAATCTTATCACAGATGGCTGTGGTATGCGGGGACTACTTGAAAAGCTTATCAAATGTTACCCCTAAGACCTTAGGGTAGTTGGTGGTCGGAATTACAACTCCATCGACCTGCACATTCAAAGACAGCCTCATCTCCGCAGTCCATGTGGTGAAAAGTGTGGCCGTCGATTTAGTGGCGGATATCTTCATATTCTTCGCAGTTAAAAAGGCGGTTAGATCCGCTAAGTAAGCAAAGCCTACAATTTCTTTGATCTTACCTCGGAGACCATCGCAGTTGAATTGGAGAAACGATGCCTTATCCGATGCCGCGCGACTTTCTGTTGTGGAGATTGCGGGGGAGTCTCATACTCCGACGACGATGTAGACGACGAAGATGGCAGGAATCAATGTAGTCCCTATCGCTATACTCCTGTATCAGGTTTAAGCCGGAGCAGTTGCGGAAATGCAGCCACTCCATGCATTTGTTGCATCACACCGATACCGATCTGTGGTGGATGCGATTACGACAAACGGAGCAGAACCATGTTCTGGGGTTGGCCTCGATTCCGGCTCGGACCAAGAGAATACGGAGCAAACATTCCGGGCAATGTTGCTTCCACATCAGAAAAATGGACGAACACAAACGTGTATTTGCTGGGTTGGCGGCCATGGTTGAAGATTTGTTCTTCCGAGTCAATCCGGTACATAGAACCGGCCTCCGTGGGATTGATTCCGTCTGTAATGGGCGGTGGTTGAACAATTGCGGTGATATCACCAAATCTTGGGGAACTCCGTGTTTTACTCGATGGGGTTTGTGTGCATATAATTGATTATCCAACATTACAAGCTTGACCGAAGGGGAGATCTCTCGAGATCCTTAAACAGCGCAACAATGATCATGCGTGGGGTGGTATATGAATATGGCTTTTCTCTCTTCACCTCGAGGATTTTACTTATCTTGTGTGTCAGCTTGTCATTCCATGTCATTCCAACCTTCTAATGGAGAACCAAATCAAAAACAAACTTCAAGAGCTTTTCCTTCCACCTGCTTTGTGAGACATGCCTTTTTTCATTTCTTAACAAATTTGCAAACATTTTCATGACATTAATTAATATTTCACAATATTTTCACTCACAATTTATTTTATTTTTCACTATCTGTTTTTTTCTTTCTTTTTCTCATCACCAATCATTTTGAAACCAAACCAAAACAAAAACCAAATACCAATCCAAAACTTTACCCATAACACGGCTTTGTTGTTGTAATCCATATTTTTACTGCCTTGCACTGCACTGCTCGCTCTATTGATTGTTTGAAAATGCTCTTCTTATGCAAACGAAAAACCAAACCAAACTCAAACACAAATATGTTGCACTTTTGAATTGCAATTATATTTCATCTCGCTACATGCTATGCGTTCCGTATTATATGTATGTTTGTCTGAATGAATGTACGCTTGAAAAAAAAAACACCAAAACAATACCATATCCCCCAAAATAAAACACAGGCTGGTTTAATACATTGGCCGGTGCCATGAAACGCCAGCTGTCCAATTACGTTAAAATACAAACATCCAATAACAATTCTCCTTCAAACTCAGCCACAACATCGCCAACAAATGGAGATACGAATGCACCTCCTCCAGCTGATAATAACAAAGCGAATCTATTTTATCGTACCATGTCAACGGGGAGCAGTAGTTCACCCAGTAATAGTCAAACAACGTCACCTTCGGACGAGGCCGCATTGGCAACGGGAACAGCATTAAAAACTCCAAGCGCGAATGGTTCTGAGGGCTTCTATGAAGGTTCAAGTGCTGGTGGTTTCATACGACGTTATGCGGCATCAACCGGTAGCGGTGGATCAACAGGTGCCGGTTCCAATTTGAATGCTTCGGGTACAAATACATCGATACCAGCGACGCACACACCCCCGCACATTTTGGCAAATTTGGATAGAAGGCATCGTTCGCCAGATCCACCACCACGTTACAATCGTGGTCAATCGCCGTTGCTGTTACGTAAGAATATCTTGGAATTGAGTGGCCAACCACCAGGCACATCACCATTGTTAAATAGAAGGTAAGATATTTTTAGAATTAAGAATTTTCATCACATATATTGGATAAAAGTGGGAAGGATAGAGGCAGTGAGTATCAATCGATTACCTAAATTTTGGATTAAACGATGCTTGTTGTCGGTGTCCACTGTGTGGTTTTTTGGAAACATCACAAAACACTACTCCAGAATCTACATTAAGAAATATAAAAGAACAAAGAGTAAATATTTGATTACACCGAGATGAGAGCAAAAAATGACGGAAATAATATCAAAGCGGCGAATAGCTTGCTTGAACTATGGTATGTTTTAATGCCAACCTTGCTTTCCAAAATACTCCAAACACAATAGTCCAACGGATTAGTATCCGGAGATTTTGGTGGCCATTGTGCGCTGTAAATGAAGCGAGGAATCTCATTTTGTAAACATTCCTGAGTGGCGCGTGCTGGATCCTATTGGATCCAGCTTTAATACACCCTCCAGAATACTTTCGCGATAATATTCGGCATTTATTCTGATGCCACGGTCGATTAATGCGAGCGGATAGTGACCATCGGCTGTTATGGGGCCACACAATCACCATGGCCGGCGCTTGCGCTTGAGTTCTGGTGGGTCTATTTTCTTTCTGTTGCGGTTCTTGCCCTTTTTGGAATTTCAATGGCTTTGACCCGAGCTGGAATATTGCGATATGTTCAGCTCACGAGTCATTTTTTGGCCACTGCGATGTCGCTTTTTTACTTTTCAAGCCATTTCTGCTGATGTTGCTATTTTCTTCCGTCCACTTCCTTGATGTCGGACTACGCTACAAGTATAACGGTAATGAGAGATTTATTGACATTTAAATTCTGGAGTGCTCTAACGATAGCCACTTGTGGTTTTCCTGCCATATATAAAGAAATCACACTATCACGCTTGAATTCCATCACGAATATTGTTTTTTTCTGGAAAATTCTCACCAAAATGCTTTTGTAAGCTTGTAAACAATATGATGAGCTCTCACTGGAATAATTTTAATAGCTGTCGGACGAGTGGCTTAGAAATGACAGCAGTCTGAAGTTGGTTGCAGTTTTTTCATCTCATCCTGTAGTTAGCAGGGTGGTCTGTTTAGCCAGGGAATGCTTTTAGCACACTTTTAGATGATTTATATCTGAAAAGAACGTTAGAGTTTCTATGTCCCACCTCCAAAATAGCCCATATCCCTTGCCCATATATCTACCTCTACTTCATCTTCACTTATACTACAGTAGTCAGGAACATTGTTTTTCCCATCTGGAGGTCAAATATCTGATACTCCAGTGATCAATCAGACCTATTCTTAGATCAGACCTACTTGGTTAGGTTAAAGGATGCGCGGTTGTATTAATAACCACTCCACTCGGAGACCTATTGGTCCATTGTGATCATCCTAATTTAAAGAAGATAGGAGAATAGAATAAAGAGAAGAGAAGGAGATGTATTACGGATAGTGAAGAAGCGAGAATCTGAATAAAGAGTAGAAAAATAGTAGGTTTGCATCCACGGTGTAATCAGCGTGTCGTCCTTTCCCATTTTAGTCTCTTGGCTAACTGAAAAATGACCGCTGGCTCTATGTCGGATTACAAGTCTGGCAGAATTTGCTTACCCAGTAGCCTCAGTCGCTTATAAGAGTTAGGCAGTGGCAGAGTAAGTTCTATACCTTCTCACTGCCCCCTCGTCCTGACAAGGCCTGCAGTATTCAGTGTCGTCACCCCCCATTTGGATGTCATGGCCTTTATGTTGCAGTGTCCTATAATTAGGCCCACGCAAGCTTCAAATCCAGCTATCCAGCGACTAAAGATTTTTTGAAGAAGCTCACAAAATAGCTTTTTGGTGGTCAATCTGTAGACCAGTAGAGTGGGGACCTCCCAACAACAGAGCTTAATGTAATCAAATGAGGGCTTTGGACTTAATGGGACTTGAGTTGAAAGCTTTAAGGTCCTTCTATATATCGATAGTCACTGGCCCCGTTTTGCTATTGCAGAGTTCTTTTACAGTCCTAATGCCTTTTTGTTTGCAAGTATTTCTGCCCGAAACCGATGCAATTGTCAATAACTTATATGAGATCTTAATTACTATATTAGGACAAAATACTCCAGCACCGGTACCTTTATCCATCTTGGTTCTTTGGACAAAATACCGAGAAAAATTAAGGTTTGGTCCTTTGAAAATTTTGCTTTTGAAAAAAATTCTTAGAAATACTCGTTCTGTCCTTTGAATAATATTCTTAAAAAATTGCTTTTTCTTTTTTTAAAAAAATCTTTAACAAAAGGTTTTGTCCTTAGAAAAACTATTTTTTTAAATCCACAGTTAGCTTTTGTTTTTTTTTTATTAAAAAAATTCATGTTTGGTTCTTTGAAGATATTTTTAAAACTCCCTGATTGTTCCTTAGAAAATTATTCGTACTGATTCATTCCAAGATATTACTAAAAAACCCACGTTTGGTTATTGAGAAATTCCTATTTGTGATTTCCAAATAAATCTTGGTAATCCTTATAAATATACGTTTTTTTCTGAAAAATATATTTAACATATATTTACATTTCTATTTCCTTATCCAGATTTGTTAATGCTTCTCCACCACTTCCACCACCAAGACGCGGCTCCGAAAGTGTACCCGGCTCACCACAACACTTCCGTACACGCATCCATTATACACCCGAGCCACAGAGGCGTATCTATCGGACTATAGATCAATGAGTGGCACTACAAATAATGGTTATGTGATATTGGTATGGTTTTGTTGATGATGATAATGTTGATGTTGCTGCTGCTGCTGCGGCCGCAGCTGCGGCCACCACACCCAATCCCCATGCAACGGAGGACCTTGATGTTGATTTCATTATGGGCGGTGGTGCCAATGACAGCAATGCATTGCCTTTGTCATCATCATCTGCCCGGGATTTCTTAACGACACGTTCCTTTAGTCATACGGGCAGTGTCAGTGAACGTTTGGACTCTATGGTGGCATCGTCATCATCATCGACTACACAATTGAATGAAGATTTTCACAATACCCCAGCATCGGCTCCAGCATTTTCTTCATTGTCCTTGGATGCGGCCGATATGTATACGGCCAGAATGCGGCGTGCCAAATATTGGTTACAGAAATAACAACCATTAGCAATGGAGGCGGCGTTTGTGGCTAGTGATTCTAGTGAAGCTGCTGGAATACATTGTGTAAAAAAGCAAGAGATTAAAGAAGGGTCCAAACACAGGAAACAAATATTTATGTTTATTGTATGTTTGTTTTGAAAAAGGAGAGAGTGAGAATGAAAATGAAAATGTAACGAACGTTTGCAACAACTATTTTTGTAAATTTGAATAGTTTGTTATGACCAAACAACACCTAAGAAAATAATTGTAACTCTCCTCAAGAATTTTTGTATTATTTGTTTGTTTTTTGCTTTCCTTGTAATGTTGTAACATAGAAACAAACTCCCCAAATAATTGTTGACGCCGCCTATATATGACGTCTTAAAATTAAAATTAAAAAAAAAAAAACCTAAAATGAAAAGTCTTACGCCAATGCTTTAATGTAAAGGCTTTATATGCCTGCATAAATATATATACAAAAATATATAACGACAAATATTATATAATGGAAAATATTCTCAAATACAAAAAAAAACTACAAAAATAATCACCATAGAACACCAAATTTAAGCAATATTTATTTAAACAAATACATACTTATATCTTATATTGAATAATAGATATAGAATAATATATGAATCTGTAATGGCTCTATGTAGCGGACGTGTACGGAAAATGGAAAAATCTTATATAAGTTGTTCATATGCCTACCCACACACAAACACACTTTTTTGCATGCAACTGTTTGTGAAAAAAAATCCGGAAATGGTGGAAAGCACATAATGTCTTTTTTGTATTGTAGGATTCGTTGTTGCTTCCTTAGCTTCTGACCCGCCCATTTTTAATTTCAACGTTTCTGTTTACATTTTTAGATTAACAAAACAAAAAAAGCAAAATAGTTCCTTTGTAAATTTCTTGTTTAATGCAAAAAAGTTTGCGTTGCTCGATTTTAGGACAGTGGCAAACTTTCTTTATTTTAATTGTCTTTTAAAGAAGCAATGTTGTTTTTTTTTCTCAGTTTTCATTTTTCTATTTTGTGTAAAGTTTTACTCTGACTGAATAATTTTAATTATCTTGTTTTATAATTTAACGACTCACTTTAAACGACCACTGACATAACTTGTATAACTACATACAAAATCGAATTAAATATAAAAGAAAAAAAAACTACTTTTAAAGAAGAAACACAAAATGGACATCTTAAAATGACAATCTTAATTTATTAAAAAAAATGTAAGAGGATATAATATTTTTTTTGTTATTACTACACAACCCTATACCACATAAATATGCTATGGGATACGAATGAGCAGGCAGTCTTATGCATATCTAGTATATGGATTATTATAGTCGAAACGAAAACGCCTTTGAAACGGATCCTGAAACTAAGTATTGTGTTTTGTTTTAGTTAAAGACATGACATTGATTCGCAGACTTCTAAAATTAGTAAATATGTTGCCTTGACTGCAGTCTTACCATCAAATTTCAATCCTTTCCTTAAAACTATCAGAATCTGCAGAATGAGGTAGCGCCATAGCCATCCTAATTACCAACAAGTGGATACACCTCTAACTTTCCGAAATTCCGAGCCCTCCAGACGCCATCGAGATCGTAACATATGCGATACCATCATGGCGTCGGGTCCTGTAGTTGATGACATATGTGTCAGGGTGAACAGCTATCTAGCGGAGCTTGTCGCCTTCTTCCATGCGAGGAATATGAAAATATCCGTCACTAAATCAACGGCCACACTATTTACCACATGGACTGCAGAGATGAGAACACAGCTGAATGTGCAGGTCGAGAGGCATATAATTCCGACCACTAACTACCCCAAAATCCTTGAGGTCACATTCGATAGCATGTTCAAATCTTTCGCGCAAGCCACAGCTATCTGCGATAAACTGAAAAGAATGAACCAGGCCCTCAAGGCCCTAGCCGGCAGCAATTGGGTTGCGGATAAGGAAACCTTGGTGACCCCTAATAAAGCAATAGGTCGGTCTGTGGTTAGCTATGCGGTTAGCTGGCACATCCAGATCTGCCAGAACGCTGCTCTGAGAACAGGTGTCTTCTCATGACACCGGTGGACCATCCACATGAGGAGGCGAAAGTTCTTCCCTTACGTCAGCATAATCATATGCTTTCGTTGCAGTACCTGCTTGGGTGTTACCGAGAGAGTCTTCCCAACCACCGTATGGTGGATAAATCTCCCCCACCAAGGCGTGTTAGGAAGAACAAACACTATCTAGAGAGGGAGGTCCAACGCTATAAGGGAGAACTTCTAGATCGAGAAGCCTATCAGGCAGGTCTGAGTGGTATTCATACCGATGCAGTCGCGGATGCTATCAGCAGATATAAAATGAATGCCGTCCTCGGGGTCAACACCCAATAAATTGTAGCTAAAAAATGCCAGCTGCTTAGACAAACCAGGGTCGTTTTTGCGTAATTGCGCAGGATGGTGTAGTTGTCTCAATTCGTATTGGGCCCGAATTGATGAAGATGTGCGTGACGCCTGCCAGGCGTGTGATACAGGCCCGCACAATACTCTGCACCTCTTTAATTGCACAGTCAAACATACCCAACTCACTCCTGAATATCTCTAGCTACAGCCCATTAAAGTAGCAGAATTTCTGGAACCAGATTAGCAGAACGCAAACATGTACTACTGCTGCAACAACAACAACGATCTAGAGAGAGATGATCATGCCTTTGAAAAGGATCTGTGTAGTATTCACCGAACACCATGCTGCATCTTTTCAATTCCCATGTTAAGTCTATCCAACTCACTCCCGAAGATAGCCGTATTTTTTTAGATATGTAGTTAAAAAGCAGAACCTACAACAACATATCCCATATATTGAGATATGGAATAAGAAATTGGGGTTTCCAGACAATTGTACTCAGTCAAATTGTCTATATTAAATTCTGTTATGCCAAAGGTCTCATTAATATTTTTTATTCGTTTGTATTCGCTGCCTTAGATTCACTTCAAGAACAATTTGCTCAACGTTTTTTTTTATAAAATATACTGGTATAGGTTCCATTCTCCCTTATTTTGTTATATATCTTTCAGATAAGTATAACACAAGGCCTTCTTGACCTGTTTTTACAAATGTGGTGTAGAAAATAATACTGCTAGACCTTTCCTAATATATATTTTAAAGTCCGTTCTGTTTTTTTCTCTCTCTATAAAAATTTTGAATATTCGTTTTGTGTATGATTTGCCCCAAACTTTTTAAAAATAATTTTTTTTAGACATAGGTCTGTAAACAAACATAAAATATTTGTTACTCCTACAGATCCTCTTCATATATAAATTATAATTGAAATTAAGTGGTAATGTATTCATATTTATCATACACACACGCATACATATTTCATACTGTAACTGTTCTTTATTTATATTATATAAAAACAACTACAACAAAAAAGCATAGGAAAAAAGAAAATCATATTATTACACTGTATTCGAAGAAAACAAAAAAAAAAAAAAACGATTTATATGAAACTATCCTTGAAATCAATATTTAACTTGCTCCCGAAATTAAGATCCGACTCTTAAACACACACCCACATACCATTAGGAATTATTACAAACTTAACGAAAAATATTGAATAAACAAAAAACATTGTTTTCTTTCGTATTTAAGTAAAAGAAAAACTAAATGTATATATTGTTATATACCATATAAACAAACAAACCCAAGTAGTAAGTAATAAAATGCTATGTAAAAAAATTATAAAAAAAAAAATCATGAAAAATAATTCGAAAACATACAAAAAACGAAAATAAAACATTAAAAAGTACTAAATTTTAGTACGCGAAAAAAACTATACCACATAAAAACGAATTGTTTGTTTTTATTTTGTTGACTGAGGTTGACTGGAGACATACTGACCCATGGAAAAATAGATTTTTAAACATTTGGAAGGATTTTGGCAATTTTTTAAAAAATAAAATCCATTAAAAATTCTGTTAAAATCTTAAAAATACCGAATATAGCCATAATATACGCCGAAGTGGACATGCCTAGGCAACTTTTGTCATAAACCATTACAATATTCAAATGCGAAACTTGAATAAAAAATTCGGTGAATAATGTACATTGGGGCTATACGGAGACGTGGACCTGCACAGACAATTTTCTGTCTGTAGTTTCCAATTCGAGATTCAAACACCAAATTTGAAACAATACCGGTGAATAATGGCGCTAAAATCATAAAAATACCGAATATCGGGAGATACCGTTATATGGGGGATATACGAAGACGTGGACCTGCATACAAAAATTTTTGTCATATGCTGTAGTACCCATTACGAACTCCAAATACAAAAATTGAAACAATTCCGGTGAATAATGTCGATTAAATCATCAAAATACCGAATATCGGGAGGTAGCGTTATATGGGGGCAAAACGAAGACGTGGACCTGCACAGACACTTTTCCGTTATAGGCTGTAGTATGAACTACGAACTTCAAATACGAAATTTGAAACATTTCCGGTGAATAATGTCGGTTAAATCACAGAAATATCGAAAATAGAGAGTGGCCATTATATGGGGGTTATACGAAAAGGTGGACCTACATGGCCCATTTTCAATACCAAAAGTCCTGCAGGCATAATATACATTTCAGTAAAAATGTATTAATCTACTTCATTTCGTTCGGAATCTAGAATGATTTCCACAGACGAACGGACATCGCTATATCGACATATAATAGGCAGTAGGTATGCCGGACCGAGTTTCACCAAATGATAAAATTCGGTTGAATATGAAAAAATCTATTCAATTTGGGCTGATATTACATGTATGGCGAGCAATAACCATAAAACCGGATGAAGATGTATATTCGAAGCTATTTAAAAATCAGAAGCGATTTCTATTGCTTGCTTGCTTTCCGCCAGAAGTGCTAAAATTCTGTTCATTTGTACTGATATTAGCCATTTGGTGCACAATAAACCTGAAACCGGACAAAGATATATGGGAGCTATATGCAAATCTGAACGGATCTCGACAAAACTTAAAATACTTATTTCAGAGCTGAATGTGATATCTGGTTCTAAAGATTATTGTCGTGGAGTGCATATTACGCATGTGAGGGACTTAAAACACCAAGTCGGATGAAACATATATATGGGAGCTATAGCTTTAAATGCGACCTGCATTTTGTTCACAAAAATACATTTACAGACGGCCAGAAATGCATAAAACGACTTAAAAAGTTATTCTATGAAGATCCTCAAAAGTATTTGTTTGTAACATGGAGAAGGAAGCGAGATAGACCCATAGTTACTTTTGAGGATCTCCATAGAATCACTTTCTGAGTTGATTTATGCATGTCAGTCCGTCTGTCCATGTATTTTTGTGAACAAAATGCAGGTCGCATTTATTATCCGATTAAGATGAAATTTTGCACAAATCATTTGTTTGGCCCAAGGACGAACCCTATTGAAATGGGAGATAATTTAGATATAGCTCCCATATATATCTTCGTCCGATTTGCCTTTTATTGTGCACCAAACGTGTAATATCAGCCCGAATAATATGGAATTTTGCACATACAACAAATTAGGCCTGAAAATAAGTATGCCAAATTTGATCGAAATCGGTTCAGATATAGCTATATCTCTTATATATATTGTTCATCCGATTTGTTATTTTTTGTCCTCCGCAGTCGTAATATGCACTCTGTAACAACAAAATTTGGGGGAAATATATCAAATGCAGCTCAGAAATACCTTTGCTAAATTTTATCGAGATCGGTTCAGATTTGGATATAGCTCCCACATATAACTTCGTCCGATTTACCTTTTATTGTGCACCAAATGTCTAATATTTGCCCAAATAGGATGGAATTTGGCACATACGACCGAGTTTAGTCTAGAAGCTAGTATGCCAAATTTGGTGAAGATCGGTTCAAATATAGCTACAGCTCCCATATATATTGTTCATCCGATTTGTTGTATTTGTTACCCACAGCCATAACAGGCACTCTGTAACAACGATATTCAGGGAAATATATCAAATACAGCTCAGAAATATCTTTGCCAAATTTTATCGAGATCGGTTCAGAATTGGATATGGCTCCCATATATATCTGTATATGATTTCAAATTAATTTTGCACCAAATGGGCAATAAAAGTCCGAATTTAAAAGATACAAATGCTTCGGCACATTTAGTCATTTGAAAATTAAATTAAATTATAATCATGGCGTGTATGATTGAATTCTCCCATAAAAACTTTTAATTGTTATGTGGAGTTCTACTAAATTAGCAAAATGATGTAGGATATCATAAAGTCGGCCCCGCCCAACTTTAGGACTTTCATTACTGGTTTAAATTGGAAATGTATGAGTAAAAGAAAAAGTCTGCCACTGTGCGAGTATTGAACTGTTCTCTTTATTTTAATCGCCATATAAAATACATGTTTGTTTGTATGTATGTATGTGTACACCCCCTACTTATCGAGACACCACAAATATTTGATCAATTTTCATTACGTGGGTCAACGAAACTCAATGCTAAATAAAAAAAATGTTTGTTTTTGCTTCTTGTATTTTCCTCTCTCAGCAAACTTGTTCCATTTAATGTTTGACAAAATAGAACCCAACAACAATGGCAAGTTGTTACTATGTACAGTGGAGCGGAGAAAAAATAACGTGCACTAAAGCATAGCTGGCGTTCTAGTGCACCAGTTGAAATTGTGTTAAAAATTTCCGAAGCAGTTAGACAATATTTACCATTTCGTATCTAAACTAAGAATGACATAAAAATCTTTGGAAAATGTGGAAATATGTGTGATTTAACAGATATAGGGGACAAGGTATTCCATTTTCATACTTCATCTCATAAAGACAACATTTGCAAAATTTGAAGGAAATCGAACATTTATATCCAATTTTATGCGAAACCATAAATTCTATATTCATCTCAGGCTTCTGGTTGAGAGGAATATTTAGATATAGCAAGTTGTAAATAATCGCCGAATCGTTTCATAAGTTATGACAGATATAAGTATTGGAAATTGTGTCCCTTCGCGAGAGAGGTATTAGAAGGGGTCGGCAGATAAAGGGTGTTTTTTAGGCTGGATAGAACATTAAATTGTAAAAAGTAACACAAACACTTAAATTTTGATGAGACTTTTTTATTTGTTTCAGTATACCCTGACAAATCATCCTGAATAGACTCACGCTTGAACAACGCTACGAAATTATCCAAATTTACTTTGAAAATCAGTCAGAGATCAGAGAACCTACAAACTCCATTACATCTAGAAAAATGCATCGTATGGTGCGGTTTTCACGCTGGTGGCATCATCGGACCTTATATCTTAAAAAAAAAAAAAAAAATGAGGCCGGAGCTCGCGTTTCTGTCAATGGAGATCGTTACCGCACCATGATCAATGATTTTTGCTTAAAAATATGGATGACATTGATCCGGGGGAGATGTGGTTTCAACAGGATGACTTGAAATCTTGAGCTCTATGTGGGTGAGGTACCAGAAGTAATGGTCCAATCTCTAACATCTTTATAACAGATCTTGTGTTGATGGAAATGTTGAGATGTACCAAGTCTGAATGAAGTTGGAGATTAATTTCGCGTTTTATGAGCTTCATGAATATTCAAAATTTTGACCCTTGGTGGGGGAGGTACCTGAAGGAGTGGACGGACATATTCTATCTTCACACCAGGTCTTGGGTTAATAAAAATATTGTGATTTGTGTAATTTGAAGAGAACCGGTTGCTTATTTTGGATTTTATGATCGTTTTCAAAACTTTGACCCTTTGTGGGGGAGGTACCAGAAGGAATGGTCCGACCTTTACCATCTTTATAACAGATCTTGTGTTGACGAAAATATTGGAATGAGTCAAGTCGGAATGGAATCGGATGTTGATTTCGTGTTTTATGAACTTCATGAATATTCAAAATTTTGACCCTTTGTGGGGGAGTTACCAGAAGGAGTGGAACGACACATTCTATCTTCACACCAGACATTGGATTAATAAAAATATAGTGATATGTGTAATTTGAAGAGAATCGGATGCTTATTTCGGATTTTATGATCGATTTGGTCATTCAAAACGTTGACCCTTTGTGGGGAAGGTACCAGAAAGAATGGTCAGACCTCTACCATCTTTATAACAGATCTTGTGTTGATGAAAATATTGAGATGTGACAAGTCAGAGTGGAATCGGATGTTAACTTCGTGTTTTATGGGCTTCATGAATATTCAAAATTTTGACCCTTTGTGGGGGAGGTACCAGAAGGAGTGGAACGACATAGTCCACCTTCTCACCAGGTCTTGGGTTAATGGAAATATTGTGATGTGTGAAATTTGAAGAGAACCGGATGCTTAATTCGGATTTTATGATCGTTTTGGTTACTCAAAACTTTGACCCTTTGTGGGGAAGGTACCAGAAAGAATGGTCCGACCTCTACCATCTTTATTACAGATCTTGTGTTGATAAAAATATTGAGATGTGACAAGTCAGAATGGAATCGGATGTTAACTTCGTGTTTTATGGGCTTCATGAATATTCAAATTTTTGACCCTTGGTGGGAGAGGTATCAGAAGGAGTGGACCTATATGTTTCATTTCATTAATAAAAATATTCCGATGTGTGTTATTTGAAGACATTCGGACCTTACATATATGAGTTATAAATTTTCAGAATGTTGACCCTATGTGGGGCGGTACTTGATGAAGTGGACCGATATTGACCATTTTCGCACTGATGCAAATATTAGGATTTGCAAAGTTGGAGCAAAATTGGATTATCGTTTCTCTTTTTTTGCAGTAAAATATTTTTTGGAAATTTCGACCTTTTGTGGGGGAGGTACCAGAAGGAGTGCGCTGATATTGCCCATCTCCGAACTCGAACTAAGTTTGACAATAATATAACGATGTACCAAGTTTGGACTAAATCGACTACTCCATTCGAGAGTTATCATGCGCAGATCGCCTCCAAATGACCTGAAACGGATTTGTTCCAAAGATTCCTTGGGCCTAAAACCGTTATTTTGATAAAGAACGTTTAGGCCGTATCAAATGATATAAACCCTCTATAGCCAAATGGCTGAGGGTATAAAAATTGTCTAGACTTTACATATTTTAATAAACAAATAATTGGTTTACTTCTATTGACTAATATTTTTAACCGGGTGACTTGTTCGATTATAACCGTTGTTCTAACAATTTGCCGACCGAACTAAAAAACTCTTTTGAATTTAGTATGTCTAAACGTATTTACGTACGAACACTGCAATCGGTGGTAGCCATTAAAGAGATTTATTGGAGCTAGAAGACCAATTACATTTGAGAAAGAAATATAAAATGAATTCATAGCCGACGTTGGGCGCCACTAATGCACGAAACTCAAATCCATTTTCCCTTATATTATCTGCACCGAACCACTGTGGTAAATATATTCGAGTACATACTATAAACTACGAAGATGATACGACACATGAATGAGCGAGCGAGCGTAGCGTAGCGTTGATGGACGTGTTGTTAAATACACAAGAAAGCAACCCCCTTGTCGCGTGGTTAACGTTTGGCATGGAGAAACAATAGAATCCAAAAAACATATGGGAGATCGACGCAAAATATTCAACAGCCAGAGTCATTCAGTAACATGCCTGAGTTCTAAGCACTTAAAAGTGTGGCGTATTTTGAACGGGACGATCGTGGAACGGTAGTAACCGCTGGAAACGCAAATTCACAAAAAAGAGAAAAAAAGTTGTCCAAAAATTAGTTTGATTTTAATAACGAAACAATTGTGGAAAGTTTTTTCAAGTGTGGTGTTCCTTAGGGTCACAGACAAATAAATAAAATATATTTTTTTTGATAAATAAATTTTTTAACAAATTGGAAAATAATTAAACAACACACAAAAATGTCCGCAACACATAATCAACAGAAAGAATTGACACCTCTAACCAGGGCTGCTTTACAAGTTGTAGCCGGTGGTTCGGCCGGTTTTGTCGAAGTTTGCATTATGCAGCCCCTCGATGTGGTTAAGACCCGCATGCAGTTGGGCGGTGGAGTGGTGAGTATCTATCTCGCTTACAGATGATATAATTAGGCGTAATACGTCTGTCTGTTTCGGTAATTAGATAATGTGTAAACAAGTCTCGTCGCACTTTTCCTCTTGTAAGTGTGTAATTTTGAGCGCAAAGAGAATTTATATTTGCGTCGTCGTTGCTGCCTTTTTCGCTCTTTCTCCGCTAAATCGGAAAACGTAAATATTTATTTACATTTTAGCCGGTTTTATTTCTCACGTTACAATTGCTAACCGATGAATGTATATATTTTTGCGCTGCTGATAAGATGCTTGTAGCGACATACATACCTACCTTTATTGAATACACTCAGAAAAAAATTAAGTAAATTTTATAAGAAAATAAATTTAAAATTCATTGAATTTGTTGATAAGCCAACGGTATGGTATCTTGTCATTTAAACACATTTAATGCTTTCTATACTGATTGGGGTATAAAAATCAATACCCCTAAGACCGAGGCCATATATTTGAGGAACGCTTCAGAAAAATGTAAGAAATGGTTTGTACCAGAAAGCAAGTCCTTGGAGTTGTCTTTAAGTGGAGTAGAAATACCATTCAGAGATAGATTTAAATATTTGGGTGTTTTGTTCAACAAGTTATTCAAATTTAGACCTGCATTGGTGTAAGCACCACCTATATGGTTTCTAATCTCTCCAACAGTAATGAAAGCGTTTGAGATATTTGAAAGAAAAATACTTCAGTATCATAATAAGCGTTTCTCAAATCGATATATACAAGGTGAGATGAAAAAAGTGGAACCAACTTCAGACTACTGTCATTTCTAAGCCACAGCTGTTAAATTATTCCAGTGACAGCTCATTATATTGTTTACAAGCGTACAAAAGCATTTTGGTGAGAATTTTCCAGAAAAAAGTTATTCGTGATGGAATTCAAGCGTGATTTCTTTATATTTGGTTGGAAAACCACAAGTGGCTATCGTTTAAATGTGAATAAATCGTTTGTGTTTCGCACCATCGCTCGACACCGTGATACTGGTAGCGTAGCCCGAAGTCAAGGAAGTTGACGGAAGAAAACAGCAACATCAGCAGAAATGGTTCAAAAAGTAAAGAAGCGACTTGATCGAAACACGCATCGCAGTGTCCGAAAAATGGCTCGTCAGCTGAACATATCGCAGTATTCCATTCGGCAAATATTGAAAAATAAGCTCGGGGTAAAGCCATTGAAATTCCAAAAAGTGCAAGAACTTACACTGCAACAGAAAGAAAATATACCCAAAAGAGCTTAAGAGTTGCTTCGCTTGGCCGAAAGTGGTGAACTGCCGAATTTGGTTTTTTCCGATGAGAAAATATTCGTTGTCGAGCAGTTTGTAAACAAACAAAATGATCGTGTTTACTTGCCAAAGAGGTCAGTTGAAAATGTGCACCTTCGGTAGGCCGCCAGAACTCAAGCGCCGGCCATAGTGATGATTTCGGCCGCTATAACAGCCGATGTTCGGTATCCGCTCGTATTTTTCGACCGTGGCATCAGAATAAATGTTTAATATTATCGCGAAAATATTCTGGAGGGTGTATTAAAGCCTTAGACACGCAAACATTATAGCCGCAGACCTTGGACATTCCAACAGTACTCAGCAACATCGCACTTAGCACGCACCACCCAAGAATGGTTACAATATGAGGTTCCTCGCTTCATTTCCAATGGCCACCAAAATCTCCGGATACCAATCCGTTGGACTATTGTGTGTGGAGTATTTGGGAAAGCAAGGTTGGCACTAAAAATACCAAAGCGAATGGCCAAAATACCGCAGAGCAACATCCGGGCAAAGTGTGCCGGTGTCATTGGCCGCTTGAAGTCCATAATTCGTGCCAAAGGTGACCAATTAGAACAAATCTAAACTTATTCTAAAAGTTGATGTTATTTCCAATATTTTTTTGCTTTGATTCAATAAAATTAAAAAAAAAATTAAGAGTTATTGCGTTTGACTTTGTTGCAGTTTTTTTATGTGACCCTGTATATATGTATATACCCCGCTTCATATCCAGTTTCTAAAGTTTAAACATAATTGAGGGTGTTATCTGGAAGCTTCGGAACACATTTAATGCAGAATATTTATAATTTGTCCACTTATTCGAAATACTGTTTTCCCCACACTTGTGAACCATAACTTTGGATTGAACGGCATACAGCCAAAAACATTAGCACTTGGAGATATAGTAGTCTTACCAATGAACTTCTTCCAGGTAGTGTTTAAACACGATTTGGCTGCTTCATTTTTATATGTTTAGTGAAGAATATATATTATATTCCCATTTATCGTCTGCACTTAATCTGCTTCCTTTTCGAAAAATTATTATTTCTGATTTTGCTTGGTTGACTTCCATTCTCCATACACAGACAGATTATTGACAATTGTTTGTACTTCAATAGGGTTTTCTGTAAGAGTGACGATGTCATCTGCATGCATTAATAATCTGATGTTCAGTTAATCTATATATAGACTATATCTATATATAGACCACCCTCAAATGCGTCATAAAGATCGTTTAGATGTAATGTAAAAAAATTAATATAACATCTCGATATAAGTATTAAAATAAGGTTAATTTCTGTTTGATTTCACTTCCTATTTGAACTGCCAACAATTTTCATAGACTTTTCCTAGTGCCGTATGGTCTATTAAATTCACATGAAAATCTAATAATTAAATTATTGTTGTTAAAAAAGTAATAATCATTTTTCATTTCATGTCTTTGTATATTTTTTTGTTATTGTTGTTATTATTTCTTGGACAAAAGCAACAATCTGATCATTTAACAATTCAATGTCCAACAACTGGTCGGAAGTGTAACAGAGGCAGTGGTAGTATGTGTCATATCAATTATAAATGTCGGTCATGCTGTACACGCTCATATGGCCGGCCAATGATATTGGCCACAACAAAGCACAGCATTTAATTCTTCCGTGGAAATTTTCTTATTTTTTTTTCGTTTCTTGTTTTTCTTTTCACCTTTCGTTACTATTTCAGTGACAGTTCGGTTGCTTTGTTTGTGGAAATGTTCATGATTTTTTTTTTAAATTTTTTTATAATTTAATATATACGTTTGTGTATATGTACATATATATGCGCATGTATTGTTTATCTGTTTATATTTTTTCATATCTGATGATTATATATGTGCATAAACATGTTGTATATCTATAAAATTATTAAACTGTCCGTTGAAACCAAAACCAACATACGTACATACATAAATATTCCATACGACTTTTTTGGCCTGTCTGTCTAGCCAAATATGCTTATCGTCTCCGAAAACGTAATCCAGTGTTATCACACTCTCCCAGTACCAAGAGTCATGCTACGCTATCAAAAAAAAATGAAAGAAACTTCCACCAACAAAAGTGTTAATTATCACTTGCACTTTTAATTGTTTATGATAACGGAATTGTTTGCTGTTTAAATAAAACATAAACACTTTGTCAAATAAAAAAAAACACTAAATTTAGGATTATCAACAGTGGTTGCTGATGCTAATCTCTTAATCAGGTTTATGGTGGAAAATGTACACCGGGTACTAATAAACTTATCACCCACATTCAAATGAGCTCAGGCTAAAATAAGTAAAAGAGGCCGGATTTTGGGTACCCACCAGTATTGGGTAATGAGAATTGCCCATAAGAAGTAGTTCTTGATAAAATTCTTCTTTTAGAGGGATTTTTCCAAAAAAAATTTGTATTTTCAGTTCTCACCATACAGAATACAGGGTGAGATGAAAAAAACTGCAACAAAGTCAAATGCCATAATTTTATTTTTTTTAAATTTTATTGAATAAAAGCAAAAAATGTCGGAAATAGCATCAAATTTTAGAATAAGTTTAGATTTGTTCGAATTGGTCACCTTTGACACGAATTATGGCCTTCAAACGGGCAATGAAAACGTCAAACGCTGCCCGAATGTTGCTCTGCAGTATTTTGGCCCATTCTCGGCGAAGCGCTTGCTTCGGATGATCGATACTTTGGTATTTTTTAGTGCCAACCTTGCTTTCCAAAATTCTCCATACACAATAGTCCAACGGATTGGTATCCAGAGATTTTGGTGGCCATTGTGAGCTGGAAATGAAGCGAGGAACCTCATTTTGTAACCATTCTTCGATGGCGCGTGCTGAGTGCGATGGTGTTGAGTACTGTTGGAATATCCAAGGTCTGCGGCCAAAATATTTGTGTGCCCAAGGCTTTAATACACCCTACAGAATATTTTCGCGATAACATTCGGCATTTATTCTAATGTCACGGTCGATTAATATGAATGGAGAGCGAGCATCGGCTGTTATGGCGGCCCACACCATAACTATGGCCAACGCTTGTGTTTTGGTGGACAACCAACCTTATTTTCAGCTGACCTCTTTGGCAAGTAAACACGACCATTTTGTTTGTTTACAAACTGTTGGATCGGATAAAACCAAATACGGCAGTTCACCACTTTCGGCCAAGCGAAGCAACTCTTCAGTCTGAAGTTGGTTGCAGTTTTTTCATACATAGGTCCAAGTTTTGGGATAGCCTCCTTATAACGGTACATCCCGATATTCGGTATTTTGATGATCTTTGCCACATTTTTTCACAAATTTGTCTAAAAATCGGTATTTGTAGGTTATAATAGGTTCTAGCTTGTGTGGCGAAACATAGTATGTATAGGTCCACGTTTTGGTGTAGCCCCATATAACGATACCTCCTGATATTCGGTATTTTGATGATCTTTGCCACATTTTTTCACGGATTTGTTTATAAAATCAGTATTTGTGGGTCATAATGGGTTTTAGCTCCGGTGGCTAAACATTGTATGTATGGGTTCACATTTTTGTATAACCCCATATAACGGTAACTCCCGATATTCGGCAATTTGTCTAAATTTTACGGATTTGTCTAAAAATTGGTATTTGTGGGTCATAACAGGTTCCAGCTACGGTGGCGAAACAGTGTACGTATAGGCCCACATTTTGGTGTAGTCCCCATATAACGGTACCTCCCAATATTCGATATTTTGATGATTTTTGCCAATTGTTTTTTCACGGATTTATCCAAAAATTGGTATTTGTAGTTCATAGTGGGTTCTGCCTCCGGTAACGACACATTGTATGTATAGGTTCACTTTTTTGTATAGCCCCCATATAATGGTACCTCCCGATACTCGATATTTTGTTGATTTTTGCCACATTTTCCCCGAGGGTTTGTCTAAAAATCGGTATTTATGGGTCATAATGGGTTTTAGCTCCGGTGGCGAAACATTGTATGTATAGGTCCACGTTTTGGTATAGCCCCCATACAAGGGTACCTCCCGATAATCGGTATTTTGATGACACATTTTTTCACGGATTTGTCTAAAAATTGGAATTTGTTGGCCATGATAGGTTCTAGCTCCGGTGGCGAAACATTGCTTGTATAGGTCCACGTTTTGGTATAGCCCCCATATAACGGTACCTCTCGATATTCGATATTTTAATGATTTTTGCCACATTTTTTCACGGATTAGTCTAAAAATTGGTATATGTAGTTCAAATTGGGTTCTAGCTCCGAAACATTGTATATATAGATTCACGTTTTGGTATAGCCCCCATATAACAGTACCTTCCGATATTCGATATTTTGATTTTTCGATTTTTGCCAAATTTTCCCACGGATTTGCTTAAAAATTGGTATTTGTGGGTCATAATGGGTTCTGGATGCGGTGGTGAAACATTGTATGTATAGGCCCACTTTTTGGTATAGCCCCCCATATAACGGTACTTCCCTATATTTGGTATTTTGATAATTTTTGACACATTTTTTCACGGATTTGTATAAAAATTGGTATATGTAGTTCAAATTGTGTGGTTGCTCCGGTGACGAAACATTGAATATTTAGGTCCACGTTTTCCTATAGCGCACATAAACCGATACCCACCGATATTCGATATTTTGATAATCCTAGTCACATTTACCCATGAAATTATTTCAAATTTGGTATTTTAGAAGATTTGACAAATGACAATCCTTGAAGTATAAATTTGTCTGTAGAGGTTTCCGTTTTGGTATGGCCCCATACAGCGGCCTCTCTCACTTTATGTTTTTTTTATAAGTTTAACTGCATTATGCAAAATGCCTTACTGGTATTTGTAGTTTAAAGTGGAGCTCACTTTAATTCAAATATTTTTATATTAAAATGTTTCCTTTACCCTAAAATGGAGGGTATTAAAAGTTCGGCCCGGACGAACTTAATTTTTTTTACTTTTTCTTTACTTAAATTTGCAATCAGTCGTTAATTTAATGAAAATAATTTACAAAGATATTTTAATATTTATCTAAAGGTTAATGACTGCAGCTGATTTTGCGTTTAAAAATTTCCAGACGACAATGACGCATTTGCTAAATAAAACGTTTATCACAATCACTCTCAGGCCCAATATTTACGCACACACACAACCCCATAGAAATACTTTTGATTGTACTTTAATTTTTGGTAAGGACGGTTCAAGGTTATACTGTTTAGAACCCATTCTATTCCTTTACCATTGCAATGTTTTGCAGCAATAATTCATAAAAAATTCAAGAGTATTTTGGAATACCTAGTTTCGATCGATATTTCGTTGATCAGCTGAGAGTTGCATGCCAATTGACCGGTACTTAAGTTCTCTCACATAACTTGTGATTAATGATAAATTTAACGCCACTTCATACCGCGCGCTGTTTCCACCAACACGGACAAGTTTTCCAATATGTTTACTGTGTGGAAGTGTGTCAAATTTTATTAGCTCCGGCAAGCGTGTGCTTTGCCGTACACACATGTCCACAGCTATTATCTGTATAAAATGAAATGAAAAATAAATGTTTATAGTTTTTTTATTTTTATACACAGACATTGGTTTATACGACAGGTACACTCAGACCTCGATATGCCGATATGTGTATTTTGGTATTCTACAGAGAGATTAATGGCATTAGAACATTATTTGAGAATAGAAAAACCAATAAAGAAAGGTCAAAAGTCGGGCGGGGTTGACTATATGATACCCTACACCCCTTTGCGTATTTAGTAGATGCAAATACCAACTATGTACCTTATTTGAATGCGTATCATTGCTTTAGAGAAGTCACAATTTGAGAACTCTTTCCAACTCTGAATCGACATTCAACAAATTTGACGGAGGCTTTTGTACCACTAGTACCAGATACCACTGCTGTATAGTGCATGATATGACTTCTATAAGAATTATATTAAAACATATTTATTGGAGCAGTAGATATACCGGACCGAATTCTACCAAATGGAAAAATTCGGTTGAATATGAAAAAATCTATCCAATTTGGCTGATATTAGCCATTGTATTGCCTAGCCATGGTGCACAATAAACCTGAGACCAGATAAGATATATATAGACACTGTATCCAAATCTGAAACGATCTTGGCAAAATTAGGCACTTATTTCTGAGATATACCGGATATCTGGTACCAGAGATCATTGTTGTGGAGTGCATATTGCGCATGTGAGGGACTTAAAACTCCAAATGAATGATGAAACCCATATATGTGATCTGAACCGATTTTCAGCAAATTTGAAGTACTTATTTCTAGGAAGAATTCAGTCGGAATTGCCAAAAACCAGTTCTTTTAGGCTTATATTAGCTATTTGGTGCACAATAAGCCTGAAATTGGAAAAAGTTATATATGTGATCTACATCCAAATCTGATCCGATTTCGATGCAATTTTACAGAGATATTTTTCAGCTCCATAAGTTATCTGGTACAAACTATCATTCCTGTGCATATTACACATGTAAGGGACTTAAAACCCCAAATCGGATAAAACATATAAATAAGCTCGGGGTAAAGGCATTGAAATTCCAAAAAGCGCAAGAACTTACACCACAACAGAAAGAAAATAGACCCAAAAGAGCTAAGGAGTTGCTTCACTTGGCCGAAAGTGGTGAAATGCCGAATTTGGTTTTCTCCGATGAGAAAACATTCGTTGCCCAGCAGTTTGTAAACAAACAAAATGATCGTGTTTACTTGCCAAAGTGGTCAGCTAAAAATGTGCACCTTCGGTTGGCCACCAGAACTCAAGCGCCGACCATGGTGATGGAGTTGACCGCCATAACAGCCGATAGTCGCATCACCTCAAGCAAGCGCTTTGCCGGGAATGGGCCAAGATACAACAGAGCAACATTCGGGCAACGTGTGACTGTTTCATTGGCCGTTTGAGGGCCATAATTCATGCCAAAGGTGACCAATTCGAACAAATCTAAACTTATTATAAAAGTTAATGCTATTTCCGACATTTTTTGCTTTCATTCAATAAAATTAAAAAAAAAATAAAAATTATGGCGTTTGACTTTGTTGCAGAATTTTTAACTCACCCTGTATATCAAAGTTCATGTATAGCGCCAATATAATACCAGATACCGGTAATTTGAAGATTACAGCAAATTTATTATTTGGAGATCGTAATGTACACCTAATCCATATATCCACAAGTCCATATAACGGTACTTCCCTATATTCGGTATTTTGATGATTTAGCTGCATTTTTCACCGGAATTATTTAAAATTAGTACTTCGCAACGGATAATATTCCCTTCGTATACCCTCCATATGCGATATTTTTATGTTATTAGCTAAATTTTTCAACAGAATCATCTCAAACTTGGGTTTGGAGTCCGCTCTCACTGGCAGAATCATGGCTGCAGAGGTCCACGAAATTCGATTTTTTTTTTAAATTTTAGCGACATTCCTCAATGGATTTTTTTACATTTTGGATCTTTTCTGTGACTTATATTTGAGCAAGCCATTTTAAAATTTATTTATTTTGGAAAATGCGGAGCAACTTGATTTATTTTCCGGCTCATTGCAAGTTTTTGCAGGGATTTTAAGCCAATTGTGGCTTTAGTGCGGTTTGTTTTTATACCCTCCACCATTCTATGGACGGTATATTAGCTTTGTCATTCCGTTTGTAACTCCTCGAAATATTCATAATAGACCTTAAAAAGTATATATATTCTGGATCAGTATTTTAGCAATGTCAGTCTGTCTGTCTGTTGTATACACGCTATATTTCAAACAAAATGTGTAGATAGGTTTAGTTCGTAAATGGGTCATGTCGGACCACGTTTTCGTAAAACCCCCATAAATGGTATTTCCCGATATTCGGTTTTTTAAGGGTTTTAGCGACATTATTCACCCTAATTGTTTAAAATTTCGTATTTGAAGTTCGTAATGGGTACTACAGCCTATGAAAAAATTACTTATGCAGGTCCACGTCTTCGTATAGCCCCCGTATTGAGGTCATTATTTAAATGGTATTTTTGGACGAACTTAGCTCTTTTCTTACTTGTTATTTTTCAAACTTAAGCCTGGTATTTCACGGCACAAATTCGCTTCAAAACTAGTTTCCGGTCTGTAATTTAATAACACATTGCAGTACATGCGTTTGTACGTGCAAACTCTTCTCAAATATCAGATTGATTTCCCACCCAGTCGATCACTGCATCCACTGAACAGTTGTTTGATTGATTGAAAAACGTGCTGAAATTCAATAAGAGCTATTGGAACAGGTGTTGTGTTGAAATATTAAAAGCTTTTATGCAAATGTATGTGTGTCCAAACAAAATATTAAATAATAATACTTTTAGTGTTGAAAAAATTTTTAATTTTAAATAATGTTTTTCCTATTTTCAGCATCAATACAAAGGTGTCTTCGATTGTTTTGGCAAAATGTATCGCCACGAGGGTCTTTACTCCTTTTGGAAGGGCATTTTGCCACCTGTCATAGCGGAAACTCCTAAAAGAGCCATTAAATTCGTGTGTTTCGAACAAACTAAGCCACTATTTTTGTTTGGAGCTCCGGCGCCCACACCATTGGTAAGTGGATATGACGCTGTATAATATATTTTTACACATTTATTTATTTTTTTATGCATATATATATTTTTATACATTAATTATACTATAGTATGTTTAAAGTAGATCGTTGTAACCTCTTTTATTATGATTTGTTTGATGTATATACTATGGAATTGGCAATTTAAGTCCACTGTGTTGATTAAATCCATTCAGCTGTAATACCATATAATATACAGGGTTTCCCATATTCCACCGGCCTTTGGGCCCATTCTAATCGACGAGACTTGTCCTCTATGGCCTCTTCGGATTAGAAAGAGCCTTACCAGTCGAAAATTTTTCGTATAAACGCTTAATGGTGTTCTTAGAAGGCGCACTTCTCACATTTTTTAATGTTTTACAAGCACGTTGAGTTTTCACTTCTTCTGTTTTATGTAAATTTCAACTATTTCAGAGCGTGTGTATTGGTTCACGGTAAAAATCTGCTTGGACTGACGCTTTAAACGCGGTATGTCATTAAGCGATGTGACATCTCTGTCAAAAGTTATGGCGTTGCCAGATGGGTTCGTCGAATATGGACAATCCTGTACAAGGTGGCGCAAAAGAAATTCTCCTATCAGAATTTCAAACTTTCTGCTTTTTAATTTTGTTATCAGAAAATGCTATAAATTTTACGATTGGCCCCTAATGTCTTAATTACAGACAACAAGTAAAAAAGCAGTAAGTTCGGCCGGGCCGAACTTTGAATACCCTCCACCATTTGGAACGAATTAGAAAATTTTCAAAAAAATTAAATCCAATAAAAATTCTTTAAAAATCTTTAAAATATCTAATATAGGAAGGTACCGATATATGGGGGGATATACGATATTGTGGACCTATAAAGACAAATCTATGTCTGCGTGTAAAGTACTCACAAGGAACTCCGTGTGTGGATTTTCAGACAATACGATTGGAAAATGTGGCTAAAATCATCAAAATACCGAATATCGCGGGGTACCGTTATATGGGAGCTATACGTTATCGTTAACCTATATAGAGAATTCTCTGTCGGTGGGTAAAGTGCTCACAAAGAACCCCTTGTGTACAAAGAACCCCTTGTGACCATTCCGTTGAAAAATATGGCTAAAAACATCAAAATACCGAATATCGGGGGTACCGTTATATGAGAGCTATACAATATCGTGGATCTATATAGATAATTCTCTGCCGAGGTATAAAGAACCCAAAAGGAAAATGTGGGTAAAATCATTAAAATACCGAATATCGGGGGGTACCGTTACATGGGGGATATACGATATCGTGGACCTATATGGACAATTCTCTGCCGAGGTATAAAGTACCCACAAGAAACTCCTTGTGTGGATTTTCAGATAATTCCGTTAAAAAATGTGGGTAAAATCATCAAAATACAGAATATCGGGGGTACCGTTATATGGGGGCTATACGATATTGTGGACCTATATAGATAATTCTCTGCCGAGGTATAAAGTACCCACAACGAACTCCTTGTGTGGATTTTCAGACAATTCCGTTGAAAAATGTGGATAAAATCATCAAAATACCGAATATCGGGGGGTACCGTTACATGGGGGCTATACGATATCGTGGACCTATATGGACAATTCTCTGCCGAGGTATAAAGTACCCACAAGAAACTCCTTGTGTGGATTTTCAGATAATTCCGTTAAAAAATGTGGGTAAAATCATCAAAATACAGAATATCGGGGGTACCGTTATATGGGGGCTATACGATATTGTGGACCTATATAGATAATTCTCTGCCGAGGTATAAAGTACCCACAACGAACTCCTTGTGTGGATTTTCAGACAATTCCGTTGAAAAATGTGGATAAAATCATCAAAATACCGAATATCGGGGGGTACCGTTACATGGGGGCTATACGATATCGTGGACCTATATGGACAATTCTCTGCCGAGGTATAAAGTACCCACAAGAAACTCCTTGTGTGGATTTTCAGATAATTCCGTTAAAAAATGTGGGTAAAATCATCAAAATACAGAATATCGGGGGTACCGTTATATGGGGGCTATACGATATTGTGGACCTATATAGATAATTCTCTGCCGAGGTATAAAGTACCCACAACGAACTCCTTGTGTGGATTTTCAGACAATTCCGTTGAAAAATGTGGATAAAATCATCAAAATACCGAATATCGGGGGGTACCGTTACATGGGGGCTATACGATATCGTGGACCTATATGGACAATTCTCTGCCGAGGTATAAAGTACCCACAAGAAACTCCTTGTGTGGATTTTCAGATAATTCCGTTAAAAAATGTGGGTAAAATCATCAAAATACAGAATATCGGGGGTACCGTTATATGGGGGCTATACGATATTGTGGACCTATATAGATAATTCTCTGCCGAGGTATAAAGTACCCACAACGAACTCCTTGTGTGGATTTTCAGACAATTCCGTTGAAAAATGTGGATAAAATCATCAAAATACCGAATATCGGGGGGTACCGTTACATGGGGGCTATACGATATCGTGGACCTATATGGACAATTCTCTGCCGAGGTATAAAGTACCCACAAGAAACTCCTTGTGTGGATTTTCAGATAATTCCGTTAAAAAATGTGGGTAAAATCATCAAAATACAGAATATCGGGGGTACCGTTATATGGGGGCTATACGATATTGTGGACCTATATAGATAATTCTCTGCCGAGGTATAAAGTACCCACAACGAACTCCTTGTGTGGATTTTCAGACAATTCCGTTGAAAAATGTGGATAAAATCATCAAAATACCGAATATCGGGGGGTACCGTTACATGGGGGTTATACGATATCGTGGACCTATATGGACAATTCTCTGCCGAGGTATAAAGTACCCACAAGGAACTCCTTGTGTGGATTTTCAGACAATTCCATTGACAAATGTGGGTAAAATCATCAAAATACCGAATATCGGGGGGTACCGTTATATGGGGGCTATACGATATTGTGAACCTATAGATAATTCTCTGCCGAGGTATAAAGTACCCACAAGGAACTACTTGTGTTGATTTTCAGACAATTCCATTGAAAAATGTGGCTAACATCATCAAAATACCGAATATCGGGGGGTACCGTTACATGGGGGCTATACGATATCGTGGACCTATATGGACAATTCTCTGGCGAGGTATAAAGTACCCACAAGAAACTCCTTGTGTGGATTTTCAGATAATTCCGTTAAAAAATGTGGGTAAAATCATCAAAATACACAATATCGGGGGTACCGTTATATGGGGGCTATACGATATTGTGGACCTATATAGATAATTCTCTGCCGAGGTATAAAGTACCCACAACGAACTCCTTGTGTGGATTTTCAGACAATTCCATTGAAAAATGTGGGTAAAATCATCAAAATACCGAATATCGGGGGGTACCGTTATATGGGGGCTATACGATATTGTGAACCTATATAGATAATTCTCTGCCGAGGTATAAAGTACCCACAAGGAACTACTTGTGTGGATTTTCAGACAATTCCATTGAAAAATGTGGCTAACATCATCAAAATACCGAATATCGGGGGGTACCGTTACATGGGGCTATACGATATCGTGGACCTATATGGACAATTCTCTGGCGAGGTATAAAGTACCCACAAGAAACTCCTTGTGTGGATTTTCAGATAATTCCGTTAAAAAATGTGGGTAAAATCATCAAAATACACAATATCGGGGGTACCGTTATATGGGGGCTATACGATATTGTGGACCTATATAGATAATTCTCTGCCGAGGTATAAAGTACCCACAACGAACTCCTTGTGTGGATTTTCAGACAATTCCGTTGAAAAATGTGGATAAAATCATCAAAATACCGAATATCGGGGGGTACCGTTACATGGGGGCTATACGATATCGTGGACCTATATGGACAATTCTCTGGCGAGGTATAAAGTACCCACAAGGAACTCCTTGTGTGGATTTTCAGACAATTCCATTGAAAAATGTGGGTAAAATCATCAAAATACCGAATATCGGGGGGTACCGTTATATGGGGGCTATACGATATTGTGAACCTATATAGATAATTCTCTGCCGAGGTATAAAGTACCCACAAGGAACTACTTGTGTGGATTTTCAGACAATTCCATTGAAAAATGTGGCTAACCTCATCAAAATACCGAATATCGGGGGTACCGTTACATGGGGGCTATACGATATCGTGGACCTATATGGACAATTCTCTGGCGAGGTATAAAGTACCCACAAGGAACTACTTGTGTGGATTTTCAGACAATTCCGTTGAAAAATGTGGATAAAATCATCAAAATACCGAATATCGGGGGGTACCGTTACATGGGGGCTATACGATATCGTGGACCTATATGGACAATTCTCTGCCGAGGTATAAAGTACCCACAAGAAACTCCTTGTGTGGATTTTCAGATAATTCCGTTAAAAAATGTGGGTAAAATCATCAAAATACAGAATATCGGGGGTACCGTTATATGGGGGCTATACGATATTGTAGACCTATATAGATAATTCTCTGCCGAGGTATAAAGTACCCACAAGTAACTCCTTGTGTGGATTTTCAGACAATTCCGTTCAAAAATGTGGGTAAAATCAGCAAAATACCGAATATCGGGGGGTACCGTTATATGGGGGCTATACGATATTGTGGACCTATATAGATAATTCTCTGCCGAGATATAAAGTACTCATAAGGAACTCCTTGTGTAGATTTTCAGACAATTCCGTTGAAAAATGTGGGTAAAATCATCAAAATACCGAATATCGGGGGGTACCGATACATGGGGGCTATACGATATCGTGGACCTATATGGACAATTCTCTGGCGAGGTATAAAATACCCACAAGGAACTCCTTGTGTGGATTTTCAGACAATTCCATTGAAAAATGTGGGTAAAATCATCAAAATACCGAATATCGGGGGGTACCGTTATATGGGGGCTATACGATATTGTGAACCTATATAGATAATTCTCTGCCGAGGTATAAAGTACCCACAAGGAACTACTTGTGTGGATTTTCAGACAATTCCATTGAAAAATGTGGCTAACATCATCAAAATACCGAATATCGGGGGTACCGTTATATGGGGGCTATACGATATCGTGGGCCGATATAGCCCATCTTCGAACTTGACCTGCCTGCAGACAAAAGAGAGATCTGTGCTTCCTATCTTTAGCTTCCTATCTTAATTCGTTTAGACTGTAGCGTGATTACAACAGACGGACAGACGGACAGACGGACGGACAGGGCTAAATCGTCTTAGAATTTTACGCTGATCAAGAATATATATACTTTGTTGGGTCTAAAATGATTATTTCGATGAGTTACAAACGGAATGACAAAGTTAATATACCCTCCATACCTTTTTTGGTGGAGGGTATAAAAAATATCGGAATGTCTGTCAAGTACAAATGCATGTACAAGGTGGCGCAAATCAAACTTCCGATGTTTTCTGGCTTTAATTAAGACATTAGGTGCCAATCGTAAAATTTATAGCATTTTCTTATAGAAGAATTTCTTTTGCGCCACCTTGTATATTATATGGTATTACTTTGGCCGAAATTTGAATAACCTCCACCATTTGGAACGAATTTGGAACTTTTCAAAAAATAAAACCTTTAAAAAGTTCTGTTAAAATTTTAAAACTACCGAATATAGCAATTATATTGGGGTCTTTAAGACATGGACCTACATAGCATCGTTTGTCACAAGCCATTACGAAATATAACGAATATAGGGAGGTACTGATATATGGGGCCTATGCGAAGACCTGGACCTGCAAAATTCCGAATATTGGGAGGAACCGTTATATTGGGGCTATACGAAGACGTGGACCTACATGGCTCATTTTCTGTCATAGGTTGTAGTATTTATTACGAACCTCAAATACCAAATTTGAAACAATTCCGGTGAATAATGTCATTAAAATCATCAAAACACCGAATATAGGGAGGTACCGTTATATGGGGGCTATACGAAGACGTGAACCTGAACAGACAATTTTCTGTCATAGGCTGTAGTATCCATTACGAACTTCAAATACCAAGTTTGAAACAATTACGGTGAATAATGTCGCTAAAATCATCAAAATACCTAATATCGGGAGGTTGCGTTATATGGAGGCTATACGAAGACGTGAACCTGCACAAGCAATTTTCTGCCATAAGCTGTAGTATCCATTACGAACTTCAAACACCAAATTTGAAACAATTCCGGTAAATAATGTCGCCTAAATTACCAAAATACCGAAAATAGGGGGTACCATTATTTGAGGGCATACCAAAATATGGACCTACATGTCCCATTTTAAATACCAAAAGTCCTGCAGACATAATATACATTTGAGTAAAATTTTAACAACCTACTTCATTTCGTTCGGAAACTAGAGTGATTTCCACAGATGGACCGACATCTCTATATCGACATAGAATTTTATGCTGATCAAAAATATATATACTATATATACTGTGGGGTCTTAAATGTATATTTCGAAGTGTTACAAACGGAATATCCTCTCCAAACTATGGTGGAGGGTATAAAAAGTAATAAGTTTCGCTTAAGTTTAAAATATATTTTTTTTAAATGGTGTCGGAAACTTTCTCGTTGATCTGTTATATTAAACTTATGGAAGACAGTAGAATATTTTTTTAATTCAATTCCTAATGTGGGAAAAACTCTTTATTTTAACTGATTTTTCCCTCTTCTCTTTTGCAGACCTTCTCTTTGGCTGGCTTAACTGCCGGTCTTCTTGAAGCCATTGCCGTTAATCCCTTTGAAGTGGTTAAAGTTGCCCAACAAGCGGATAAGACCAAAATGAAGGAGGCCCAAAGTACGTGGGCGGTGACAAAGCAAATCATACAAAAAGATGGCTTCGGTTTTCGTGGTCTCAACAAGGGTGTCACCGCCACCATGGGTCGCAATGGCGTTTTCAATATGGTCTATTTCGGTTTCTATCACAGCGTTAAGAACATTGTGCCGGCCTACGATGATCACACCAAAGAATTTTTGCGCAAAGTATTGATTGGTTTCACCTCCGGAACATTGGCCTGCTTCGTAAACATTCCCTTCGATGTGGCGAAGTCACGCATTCAGGGACCTCAACCGCAACCGGGTGTTATCAAATACAAATCAACATTTGGTTCAATGGCTCTGGTGTATCGTGAGGAGGGTTTCCGTGCCCTGTACAAGGGTTTGGTGCCGAAGGTGATGCGTTTGGGTCCCGGTGGTGCTATTATGTTGTTGGTATTTGAGTACGCCTATGAGTTTTTACAACAGAAATGTTTATAAAGTCAATGCATGTTGTTTGTTAGTGATAAATGTATTTAAGTGAATTAATGATAATTATAAACTATTAACTAATTGTTTTTTAACTGCCTTTTGCTATTTTGTTAATGTTGCAGATCTATTTTTTCGGAAAATTGAACTTTTTTTAATTTTTTATACCTTTTTTTGTATAAAATGATGTAACGAAATTGCGAAATAAAATATGAAAGCATTTAAAGGAAATAATCGATGATTTTTGTTGGAATTTTAAAATTTCATTATGTTATCAGCACCGCGAGAAAAAAAACCTGACTAAAATGACCCCACATCATGGTATATGACAGGTGATTTTGAGTTTGTTTGTCATGACCTGAGTTAAGAGTTTTGAAATCTACAAGTAAGTCAAAGAAGTACCTTTTTGATCAAGCAGTAAGGTAAGTGAGATTCTGACATCAAATAATTTTTGGGGTAACTGAATTTTTGTGGTCGAAATTGAAGTTTCTAAGGGAATTTATCCACGACACCAAAGGCCGAACAGAAAATCGAAGCTTCTTTGATCAATTAGTAGTTCAGAAGGATTTGTGATTAAACGGTAGGTCTAATAGTAGGCAGAGGGCTCTATGACACATTTTGAAAACTACTGTTTGGATTTAATATTTAACAGAAGCGTCTATGCCCTACACCACAGAGGCATTGGACTTATGAAGTGAATAGAAGCACTTCACAAGTCCAACGCCTCTGTGGTCAGTTCATAGGACTGCTCAAAGTAAGTTTTTTATGGCTGATTGTCCATTGTGGAAGGAACAGCCGTGTATTCTTATGAGAAACAGGTCGTCGAAATCTCTGTGTCGTCAAAACTTGAACTTTATAATGAATGAAGGATTTGTGGAACCAAGGTCTAATACTAGGCAGAGGACTCTATGACACATTTTGAGAAGTATGGTTTCGATTTAATACTTAACAGAAGCGTCTATGCCCTAGAAGCATCTATTCACATCACAAGTCCAACACCCCTGTGGTCAGTTCATAGGACTGTATGTTCTTTATGACTGAAGGAACAGCCGTAGGTTCTTATGAGTAACAGGTCGTCGAGATCTCTGTCTCGTCAAAACTCGAAACTTATGTTGGAACTTCTAGTGTCATACAGCGCACCGAAGTTTTTTTAGCAGTGGATAGATAATCCTGGTTCTAAGCACCTTGCTCCTTGAGTTAGTACCTGTTATATTTTGCTTGTCTTTCAACAGATAAGGAATGCCAACAACTTTGGAATCAGGGTGATTACTTCGCTTTGACTAGATGCTTGTATAACTGCGAAGTTTTATTCCCAGTTTGCGGTTTTTGATTTATTATTTCAAAACTCCACACGCAAGTGGCGCCCAAACATGTAACCAATATATCAAACGTAAATACAGGGTGAGATCAAAAAACTGCAACCAACTCATCCGACGGCTGTTAAAATTATTCCAGTAACAGCTCATTATATTGTTTACAATCGTACAAATGCAATTTTCCAGAAAAAAAGTTATTCGTGATGGAATTCAAGCGTGATAGTGTTATTTCTTTATATTTGGCTGGAGAACCACAAGTGGCCATCGTAAGAGCGTCGAAGTGGCCGAAAAATGGATCGTCAGCTGAACATATCGCAATATTCCATTCGGCAAATATTGAAAAATAAACTCGAGGTAAAGCCATTGAAATTCCAAAAAGTGCAGGAACTTACACCGTAACAGAAAGAAAATAGGCTCAAAAGAGCTAAAGAATTGCTTCGCTTGGCTGAAAATGGTGAACGGCCAAATTTGGTATTCTCCGATGAGAAAACATTCGTTGTCCAGCAGTTTGTAAACAAACAAAATGATCATGTTTACTTGCCAAAGAGGTCAACTGAAAATGTGCACCTTCGGTTGGCAACCAGAACTCAAGCGCCGTCCATGGTGATGGTGTGGGCCGCCATAACAGCCGGTGGTCGCTCGTTTCGTTTGAGGTTCCTCGTTTCATTTCCAACGCACAATGGCCACCAAAATCTTCGGATACCAATCCGTTGGACTATTGTGTCTGAAATATTTTGGAAAGCAAGGTTGGCACTAAAAAATACCAAAGTGTCGATATAATTATATCGATTAGATTAATCCGCAGACCTTTTCTGCCGTTGGAGAACACTTACATTCATTTGCGAATCTAAGATTTCCCAATACAAATTGTGTGTACGTGTGGCGCCCAAACAACGTTTTATTCAATTCAGTAGAGGGATTTATAGCACCATTGTTTCTACGTTTCCTAAAGCCTTGGAGAACCATAACAAAAGTTGGCTGTCGTAATGAAGCCACGTAAGTATGTTATTAAGATCCTCCAAGGGAAATTAGGAACTCCATCTAATAGCCGTTCGTATTGATAAAAGAACATTCAGAAGTGTTTTGACAAAAAAAAAAAAAAAAAAAAAAAAACAAATAAAACAGCAGTAAGTTCGGCCGTGCCAAAATTTGAAATTTGAATACTCCTCGAAATATTCATAATAGACGCTACAAAGTATATATATTTTGGATCAGCGTACAAGATGATCTAGCGATGTCCGTTTGTCTGCCTGTTTTAATCATGCTGTCTTTCGAAGGAATTGAGATAGAAGGTTAAAATTTTACATACATGCATAGTTTATCGGTAGGCAGGTTAAGTTCGTAAATGGGCCATATCGGTCCACGTTTTCGTATAGCCACCATATAACGGTACCTCCCAATAATTCGGTATTTTCATGATTTTAGCGACATTATTTACCGGAATTATTTTAAATTTCATATTTGAAGTTCGTAATACGTATCACAGCCTATGACAAACATTTTTGTAGCCCCCAACCTAGGGTAAAAAAATTTCGTACAGCCCCCATATAACGGCACCCCCCCCCCCCCGATATTCGGTATTTTCATGATTTTAGTGACATTTTTTACCGGAATTATTTCGAATTTCGTATTTGTTAGTTTGGCATAATTTTGGCGCCCAAATGACTTGGATGTATTCTTTTCAACATCCTTCACAGCCTGGAGTGGTTTTGGTATATTATCTTGGTGTTGTCTGTATCTTCTTTCTGTCGCCGCATCTATCCTTCCATGTTACGCTCTGTTGTAAACCTTACATTGTCTTCATATTTATTTTAGAATAAATTTAAATAGATCACTGAGCCCCGAGTAACTTAACCTGTTGAATTTTCCCTTCATTAAAATAAGATTCTTCATTTGTAATAAATGATTTTGTTTTTTATATATTTTTTAGAACTATGTATGTAATATTTATAAAAGAGAGTATATTAAACAAAATTTACAAATGTATCTATGTCTGTGTGTATGTATGTATGTATGTATGTACAATGTATTTATTTACAATGATGAACCAATAACTTAGAGCCAATTACATTTTCATATCCAAAATATCGCCACCAAAAGACCTAGCTCAGTAGTAACGCACCGAATAGCCAACCGGCGAAGATGGCTGTTGATATTGCGGATCGAAATTTCTGAAGCCGGGTACCAAACCAAATGGGCTATTGAATTGTGGCCCTAGGGGACCACCACGGATGTTGACAAAACCACGACCAGCATTTTGATTGGGACCATTGAAAAATTGTCCACCCAAATTTAACTGCGGCCCTGCTGCTGCCGATGGCGGTACATCTGGGTAATCAGGTGACGAATTATCATTATCGAGTGGAATTGGTGGCTGTTGGGCTTCTGATTCATCATTGCCATTGTCTGCATCGTCTAAACTAGTATTGCTATCATTATCATCATTGGAACCATTACCATTTGAATTAGAAGGATTAGAATTATCACTAGAATCATTATAGTCCGCTGAGTTGCTAGGATCAAAGGCCGTTGCATCGGAATAATCGGGGTAGTCGTCAACGGCTGGTGCATTGGTGTCTGGAGGTGAGGTGTCATCGGATGATTGATTGGGGTTTCCATTGCCAGTAGAACTTGGAGGTGCTGCTGCTGATGCTGCCGGAGGTTGCTGGGCACCCGCCGCATTATTATTGGTAGAGAAATCTACAAAGTGAAGGAGAAAATCCAATAGTACGGCAATTAGTAACTAGTTGAGCTATTTTACCGTTAGTCTGGGCGAAGCGATAGATCAGGGGATTCCTCAGACGATTCGGACGATCTTGTCGTATGCCTCCACGAGGTGCCATAGGTCGCCCACCAGCAGCCTGTGGTCTTCTTTGGCGAGGACGTGGGCGAGATGGTGGTGGCGGTGGAGGGGGTGCAGCTGTTGTTGTAGTTCTTGGAGCTGCCGGAGTTGATGGATCCAATGCGCCATAATCATAATCGTCGTAATAATCAAAATTCAAAATTTGTGGTCTTTTCGGTAATGGTCGCCGTCTTGGTAATGGTACTGCTGGGGGCGGTGTTGCTGTAGTTGGTGCTGGTGCTGGTGCTGCAGTGGTAGTAGTGGTTGGCCTTCGTCGTCTGGCTGCTGGGGCTTGTGCAACCGGTTGTAACCGATCGAAATAATCATAATCAACGTTGAATGCAGCATTACCCCGAGGACCACCCGCCCTTGGAGGAGCCGGTCTGGGACCAAGTCTACCTGGTCCACTTGGTATGGTAGCAACTGGTGGTGGAGCACTCAAGGATGCACTAAACGGAAACCAAAAGGATTTCAGTCCCGCAAATGGTGCAGCCGTTGTTGCCACTGGACGTCGTGTTGTTGTAGTGGTAGGTCTTCGTGTGGTTGTCGTTTTCAGATTAATCAAATTCCTGGAAGCCGCCGCCTTTGCATTACTGGCATAGGCACTTTTCATCAAGAAATTACGCACCAAAAACCCCAAATCTACAGCTCTTTTGTCCCGATCATCAACATCATCCACAGCACGGAAAACATAGCTTTGTTGGAAATCCTGTGCTGCTACATGTGTCACTGCATTGTAAAGCAATAACAACAGCGCAAGAGATTGTAAATTAAATCTCATATTTTTTTGTTTGTGTATGTCTTAAGTTCCAAAAAACGTGTGCTATGCCGCAGGTTTGTTTTCGAGTCAACCGTTATGTTTAAAGTCTAAATAAGAACTGTGACTTATAATTTGTTGTGGTAAAAATGCACAAAATTGTCCACATTGTGGTGCAAACTAAACATAATCATAATCTAACTAACTAGGGCACAGTGTTACGAAACCGCTGTCTTTCGTTGGAGGGAAGATATTTTTATTACAATGTAGTTTATCTCAATTAGGTAAAAAATCTCTAGGAGGTACCGAGATCACTTGAACAATCTTCACAATTGGCAAGAGAAAATCAGTGGTTCATAGAAATGGCGCCCAAATATTGTTAACATATATAAAGATTTCTTCTCCTATAGATTGAAGACCCTTGTAAAAGTCCTCTGGAATATTTTTTTTAGAAGTCTTATGAAATTAAAATATATTTTGAGTTTCTTCTCAGAAATATATTTTTTTAATTTTCCTTTTAGATGTGAGACACTTCGGGAGGGTTTGGACTGAAAAGGTTTATTACTTTGGCATTCAAATGCTTGTAGATGTCATTTGAAGATATAAGATATGTTACGTATTATTCTAAAGTCTTTATGTTTAATTTTAGACTTATTCTACAGACAGAATGTTCTTCAAATGTTCTTCTGTATTGAGAAAACGCCATTCAAAAGCCAGTATGTGTGTGTTGAAAGATATACTTTACAGTGGTTACTTGGGAATGGAAATGGCGCCCAACTGTAAGTTGAGTACTTGTACGGATGCAAGTTGCCGAAAACATTATTAAACCATTAAAGAAAGTCTTAAAGTCGGGCGGGCCGACTTTATGATACCCTTCACCACTTTGCATATTTAGTAGAGCTTCACATAACAATTAAAATTTTTGTGGGATAATTAAATCATACAAGCTATGATTATATATATAATTTAAGTTCAAAGGACTAAATTTGCCGAAGAATTTGTATATTTTCAATTGGGGCTTGTATTGCCCATTTGGTGCACAATTAACTTGAAATCGGTAAAGATATATATAGGAGCTATATCCAAATCTGAACCGATCGCGATAAAATTTGGCATAGATATTTCTGAGCTGTATTTGATATATGTTCCTGAATATCGTTGTTACGGCGTGCATATTACGGTTGTGGGTAACAAATATAACAAATCGGATGAATAATATATATGGAAGCTATAGCTATATCCGAACCGATCTTCACCAAATTTGACATACTAGCTTCTAGACTCAATTCGGTCGTATGTGCCAAATTCCATCCCATTTGGACAAATATTAGACGTTTGGTGCACAATAAAAGGTAAATCGGCCGAAGTTATATATGGGAGCTATATCCAAATCTGTCCCGATCTCGATACAATTTAGCAAATGTATTTCTGAGCTGTATTTGATATATTTCCCCAAATATTGTTGTTAAAGAGTGCATAATACGGCTGCGGAGGACAAAAATAACAAATCGGATGAACAATATATATGGGAGCTATAGCTATATCTGAACCGATTTCGATCAAATGTGACATACTTTTTTTCAGGCCTAATGTGCAAAATTTCATCTCAATCGAATAATAAAAGCGATCTGCATTTTGTTTACAAAAATATATGGACAGATGGACGGACATGCATAAATTGACTCAAAATGTGATTCTATGCTGATCACCAAAAGGAACTATGGGTCTATCTCGTTTCCATCTCCATGTTATAAACAAATGCACAAAGACATAATACCCTTACCACTATGTGGTGTAGGGTATAAAAAGAAGACATCTGCCACCACTATAAATTTTAACGGATATGAGCGTTTACTTCTCAAGCTAGATGCCCCTTACCTTAAGAATAGAAAAAAATCCCTTGAGAGACCTAATAAAAATAGATAGCCCTTTTAGGCGTCTTTTACAGGTGGAAGTCCCTTATTTAAGAAACATTTCCACAGTCGAAGACATAAAAGGGTGAGATAAAAAAAACTGCAACCAACTTCAGATTGCTGTCATTTCTAAGCCACTCGTCCGACAGCTGTTAAAATTATTCCAGTGACAGCTCATTATATTGTTTACAAGCGTACAAAAGTATTTTGGTGAGAATTTTCCAGAAAAAAAGTTATTCGTGATGGAATTCAAGCGTGATAGTGTGATTTCTTTATATTTGACTGGAAAACCACAAGTGGCTATCGTTAGAGCACTCCAGCATTTAAATTTGAATAAACCTTTTGTGTCTCGTACCATCCCTCGTTATCGTGATACTGGTAGCGTAGGCCGACGTCAAGGAAGTGGACGAAAAAAACTGCAACATCAGCAGGGATGGTTCGAAAAGTAAAGAAGCTCGTGAGCTGAACATATTGCAATATTCCATTCGGCAAATATTGAAAAATGAGCTCGGGATAAAGCCGTTGCAATTCCAAAAAGTGCAAGAACTTACACCGAAACAGAAAGAAAATAGACTAAAAAAAGATAAAGAGTTGCTTCGCTTGACCGAAAGTGGCGAATTTGGTCTTCTCCGGTAAGAAAACATTCGTTGTCCAGCAGTTTGTAAACAAACAAAATGGTCGTGTTTACTTGCCAAAGAGGTAAGCTGTAAATGTGCATCTTCGACTGGCCACCAGAACTCAAACGCGAGCGCCGGCCATGGGCCGCCATAACAACCGACGGTCGCTCTCCGCTCGTATTTATCGACCGTGGCATCAGAATAAATGCCGAATATTATCGCAAAAATATTGTGGAGGGTGTATTAAAGCCTTGGGCATGCAAACATATTGGCCGTACACCTTGGACATTCCAACTGGTCTCAGCACCATGGCACTCAGCACGCCAACCTAAGAATGGTTATAAAATGAGGTTCCCCACTTAATTTCCAGCACACAATGATCACTAAAATCTCCGGATACCAATCCATTGGACTATTGTGTCTGGAGTATTTTGGCAAGCAAGGTTGGCACTAAAAAATACCAAAGTGTCGATCACCTCAAGCAACAGTCGAGACATTGTTTCTACGTCCAATTACCATTCTCAAACCCCCCAAAAAGTCTTCTAAATATAAAATAACCTTCCAGAGTAATTTAGAATAATCAAAAATAAGATTTAGAAGACTTTCTGAAAGAATTTAATTTTATTTAATTCTTTGGTTCCTTTTCTATTGAGCTTACGATCTCGTCACTTGGGTAAAAAATGTTTTTTGTCATAGAAGTTATTTTTAAAATTCTTCTGGGGAGAATATCCCAGACAAAAAACAAGGGAACGGATGAGGATTGGTGGCTCTTTCCGGTAAACATTACCATCGTTCTCCACTAATAAACAAACGTTGTTTTTATAAACACAACAAAAAAGGGATAAAGCCTGACCAACAACAAAATTCTTGAAAATAGCATGGCGTCCAACAGATACCTGATTTTGGGTCTTAATGGTAAAGACATGCACTTTTGTCGCGAACCATAGGTTATACCTTGGACAGGACAAGAATTGCCACTTCGTTCGTTCTGAGTTTTAGTTTTTTACCATTCACAGAATCTGAGTAAGTTAATAGTAAGTATTTTTGCAGAACTATGGTATTTCCTCTGGATGTAATTGTCTAAAACTTTCTCTATGTTATGGGAAATCATCCAAGTCTTTGAAACATTCTTCTATCTGCAGATGAAGATCAAATTGATGGTAGTTTAGTTATCAATGGGAATCTAATAGAAAATTATTTTCGCCCTTCTTAAATCAATTTTTGTGTCTTCTAATAGCACTATGGCACCCAACATGTTACTGGTGTTTTGAAATGAATAAAGGTATAAAAAAACATAAAATTTGGAAAAAAAAAAATCCTATGATCTTTTTTTCAATTAATAGTACGGACCATATAACTGAATGTTTGAAGATTATTTAATGCACATGTATAGCTCCCATCCAAATGTGAACCGATATCTATAAATCTCTGTTAGTTTTTTTTTTTTCTATTTTTTTTTTCGTTCGGTCCCAACGCCACTCTTACCCGCCCCTGCCGACCGAGGGGGTCACCTCCCAATACGTAGGGAGCGCGTACACCCCATAGTCCGCACCATGGAGGGTTAGTATTGTAGGGAAACACCAGCTACAGTAAAACATCAGCCGGTTTTAGTAAAAGGATTAGTATTACAAATCACACACAACGAGCAAAAATACAAATCTGGCAGCTCCTAATACTATAATTATAAATTAAGTATTGATATTTTTATTGCATGCAAAGGTTCAGATAGTGATAAATTATTATAGAGGTTGTAATATATTTCACATAAAGATCTAAGGGGGTTGCTTAGTTCGTAGTTAGATCTCGCCAAGGAAAGATTTAGCGGTATATAATTACGAGTTATTCTAGACGGAACATTAAACTTTATTTCACTAATTGATAATTGGCTGTAAATTAGGTTATGAAATAAGTGAGGAAGTTAGACTTTTTCAGCTTAGTATCTAACGCCCTGTTAAAAACATTTTTTGCTATAAACTATATTTATTATACCCTCCACGATAGTATGGAGGGTATATTAAGTTTGTCATTCCGTTTGTAACACCTCGATATATACATTTCAGACTCCACAAAGAATATATATTCTTGATCACCATAAAAATGTATGTCGATGTCCGTCCGTCTATCCGTCTGTGGAAATCACTCTAGCTTTCGACATTATTCACCGGAATTGTTTCAAATTTGGAATTTGAAATTCGTAATAAATACTACAGCCTAAGACAAAAAATTGTCTGTGCAGGTCCACGTCTTTGTATAGCCCCCATATAACGGCACCTCCCGACATTCGGTATTTTGATGATTTTAGCGACATTATTCACCGGAATTGTTTCAAATATGGTATTTGAAGTTCGAAATGGTTTTCACAGCCTAAGACAAAAAACTGTCTGTGTCGTTACCTCCCTATATTTGGCATTTTGATGATTTTAGCGACATTATTCATCGGAATTCTTTCAAATTTGGTATTTGTATTGGATGTGGTATTTCGCAGCCTAAGGCCGAAAATTGTCTGTGCAGGTCCACATTTTGGTATAGCCGCCATATAATAGTACCTCCCTATATTGATGATTTTAGC